TTCCAATGGCAGAATAATGTAACGACCTAAAAACAGTTACTAAGAAAAATTAAATAAAACTAAAAAAGCTATCAAAAATAAAAACCTTTAGTTAAATAAACGAAGCCCATTTAAAAAAAAAATCAATATTTACATTACCTTTCTTCAGTGTTCTGGTCATTTAGCTGTAAATTTGTAAATTCTACTATTTATCTTTCAAAGAACGAAAACAAACTTTTTCTGTTTTCTGTTTCTTCTTCCGCCAAAGTTTCAGCGTATCTCACGTCAACGCATGCGCAATCGAAGAAGAATGTGAAAATATTACTGAAGGAAGGCGCTCGGTCAATACCCCTTTTTCCCTCAGCATTTTTTTAAAAAAATTAATGTTCAACCTATACAAGCCGCAAGAGCCACTCGTGGTAGAGGGTTATTGAAAGAGTTTGTTACATTATCAGTAAGAATAAGAGGTTCAGTTTATGAGGAAATGTGAGAAAGATAACAGTTAATCCTAGACTTGAACAGGTTAAGATTGTAGTGATTGAGGAAGTGTTCTCTTGGGAGTTAGTTTATAAAGTAGTAGTTCATGGAAATAAGTCTTTTGAATGGAAGTTACTTCTCACTAATGGAATACAAAAGGAATGAGTGTGGTTCAGTTCAGTGTATGTAGCATAGTGGTTCTTAGCTGTGAGGATTAGAGTGTTGCAGACCCGGTAGGGTGCAGTGCTGGATTATACTGAGTGGCCTTGTGCCAGACACCACACTAAACTACCGAGTCTACAAGCAAAGTAAAAAGATAAAAATGTGCGTGGATGAACAACGAAGAAATGTGGTTAATCCACACGTGCATGATTAAAATATATTAACAAGATAGCCTCCTCGGAATGACTGAAAAAAGACTGGGTTTCAACAAAGAGTAATTTTATTAAATGCAGGAAAAAACAAGTAATTTGTCCCGTGGTAGGGACCAATGAAAAAGTTCCGCGCCAAAATAGAAAACAAGATGGCTAAAGGCGGGAAGTTTCTTGAAGAAGAAGGAGATGCCAGATAAGTCAATGTACATGATAATATTCATACAAGGAAAAATACTCACTGCGAGTTTTTAGGTAATGTGAGTGAATGTTATTGTTATGTACATATTTTTTTTCTTTTTTTTGTACTGGTTCAGAACAGATTTCTGACGAGACCCAAAGTGGACGACGGATTGTTATTTTGTATGTTCTGCATCGACTCGGAGTAGGATTTTGAATGACTAGTCTCAAAGGGCCGAAAAGTAATTATTTGGTATATGCATCATCTCGTAGAAGGATTTTTTGAATGACGAGCCGAAAGGGACGAGGAATTAATTATCTGGTGTTCTCATAGTCTTGTAGAAGGAATTCCGAATGACGAGCCAAAAGGGACGAGGAAAAAATTATCTGGTATTGCATCGTCTCGGAAAAGGGTTCTTGAATGACCAGCCAAAAGGAACGAAGAATTAATTATTTGGTATTTGCATCGTCTCGGAAAAATGATTATGAATGACGAGCCAGAAGGGACGAGGAATTAATTATTTGTGGTCGCATAGTATTATTTCCTTCGCCAGTCAACCTGAAATTTTGACATGGATAAAAATGAGTCTGCCCAGGTCAGAGTCTGGAACACAACTGAAATTTTCTGAAACAACAGTTTGTCGTTGACGTCACAAATTTTTCGCGGGAAGATTTCAAAAATCTAATTTGCATAACAGGTCGCTTGGTTGGTGACCAAAAACAGTTACTACTGTATTAGACCGAACGAGGGAGAAAGGGGTGTCAAACGCGCGCGCGCACACAAGCGTGGAAGAAGGGAGGAAACTCGCGCGCGCGTAAAATGTCGTAGATGGAATAATACATTATTCCACACAGCCCTCCTCCTGGATCAAATGTCGCAGACATTTGACTAATAATAGTAGAATGTTTCAAATTTCTTTGGAAAAGGTGACTTTTCGACCGGAGCTGGTATACTTAGGTTTGTCGAGAGAGACAGGTGTCTTGAAATTCTCCTGAACTTGCGGAGTTGATTGGGAAGTAGTATGAGACGACGGTTTCTCTATAAAGGCAGGTTTCAACCGATCTATTGAAACGTTGTCGGTGTGAATACCTTTTGTATTTGGAAATATTTGTCCGCGCGTTTAAGAACGCGGTATGGGCCTATGTAGGCCGGCGTAAGAGGCCGCTTAACAGAGTCATTACGTACAAATACAAATTCGCAGTCCTTGAGCTGGTGCGGTAGATAGATATCACTCGGGCAGTGCCGCGGTGGTGTATAGCATAAGTTTGCCATTTTAAGGCGTAAGTCCTGAATAAAAGAGGAAGAAACTGGTGGTGTGGTGCAGCTGGTGAAAAATATTGGCCAGGTAAAGATAACGAAGTACCAAATACAAGCTCTGCAGGGAGCATTTCAAGTCATCATAAGAATATTTCCTAACGATAAAAGGATGAGGGGTAATTCATCGACCCAATTATTATTCTCATGCTTCGTTGATAGCGAAGCCTTAAAGGTGCGATGGAATCGTTCCACCAGCCCATTAGCACAGGGTGATACGCTGTAGTACGTATATGCTTTGCACCAAGGAGTTCAGTGAATTCCCTGAAAAGACACGACTGGAACTGTGCTCCTCTATCTGTAGTAACCACTTTAGGAGTCCCAAAATTGAAATCCAATCGCGTAAAAATAGCTTTTGCGACAGTCACAGCAGTGGTATCTTTGACAGGGATGGCAGTAGGCCATCGGGAAAAACGATCCACTATAGTTAGAAAAGGTAGGAATAACCATGGCAGGTTGGTAGGGGCCCAACTAAGTCAGGTGTATATTAGTAAAACGAGCATCAGGCTCGCTGAAAGTGCCCACAGGAGATTTTGTGTGTCTATGCACCTTACACTTCTGACATTGTAAACAAGTATTAACCCATTCACGAATGTGAACGTTCATATTCGGCCAAACGAAACGGTCCGAAATTAACTTAACTTTGTGGCTCTTTTGCTGGGTGTGAGAGCCCGTGTGGGTGGTCAAAAACCTGTCTACGAAGAGACGGAGGAACATAAGGTCTTGAGATTTGGATTTTACATCACAGTATAAGACCTTGTTACTAAAAGGGCCGGACATTTCTGAAGTTCTAAAGAAGTGTCTGATAACACATGCTTCAGAGTTATGTCCGCTTCCTGTTCGTCGGCGATCAAATCTTGACTGAGTGCATCAGTATGCACGACAAACATTTCAGTACGAGATAGGGTATCGGCGACAGTGTTATCCGAACCCTTAATGTACCTAATATCAGTAGTAAATTGCGATATATAGTCCAGGTATCTGATCTCCTCGCAGTGTATTTGTCCGAATTAGTGGACATAACGGACGTTAAAGGTTTGTGGTCCGTAAATATAACGAAGGACCTACCTTCGAGGAGGTGTCTGAAATGCTTAATGGCACGAAATATAGCCAACAGTTCACGAGAAAAGGTACTGTAGCGTGACTGGGCAGGAGAAAGTTTAGCGGAAAAGAACGCTATAGGTCTACGTTGAGAAGGAGTGACTTGTTCAATGACCGCGCCTATTGCTGTTTCGCTAGCGTCAGTGGTCAGGTAGATATCTGATTGAGGGTCGTCCTCTAAGAAAACTAAGCTTAGAAAAATTGCCTAGAGCGGTTTTAGCTGCTCGAAAGGCGTCAAGGCTTCATTCTCAAGTATAATAGTCTTATTCTTCTTCTTCTGTAATAAATTGGTAAGGGAGTCAGGATGTTAGAACAGTTTGGAATAAACCTCCTGTAGAAGTTGATCATCCCTATAAAGCGTCTCAACTGTTTAATAGAAACAGGGACGGGAAACTCAGTGATAGCTTTAATCTTTTCAGTTAAAGGGCAATTCCATTTGCATCGACGTGATGTCCTAAAAATTCTATATGGTCTGATCCGAAGACACATTTGTCCAGGTTTAGACGAAATCCGTAATGGGACAAACGTTGAAGAACTTCGTGTAGGTGTTGTTTATGCGAGGCAGCGTCCTCGCTAGCTATCAGAATGTCGTCAATGTAATCGAAAAACAAAAGGGAGTCCACGCAGAACCTCGTCCATAAGACGTTGGAATGTCTGTGCTGCGTTGCAAAGGCCGAAAGGCATTTTCAAAAATTCAAATAGACCGAAAGGTGTAGTAACAGCAGTTTTGGGACATCAGCAGCAGCTACTGGCACCTGATAATATGCTTTCGCAAGATCTATTTTAGTAAAATCTTTGCGCCTTGTAAACCAGAAGTGAAATCGTGGAGGTGGGGGATTGGATAACGATCCCGGACGGTGATGGAATTCAATCTTCTATAATCCACACAAATTCTATAGTCCTCCTTTCCTGGTTTTAGGTACTAAATGGAGAGGGAAGCGTAAGGACTGTCGGACGGACGAATAACACCCTCACGTAGCATGTCGTCGAAAGCTTTCTTTGCGAATTTTTAATTTGTTAGGTGCTAGACGACGAGGACGGGAAAAACAGGTTGACCAGTGGTCTTAATAAAGTGCTGTGTTTGATGTTTAGTTGAATCAATAGATCCAGCAGGACGCAGGAGGTCCTGGTACTGATTCAATAAGTCTAAGTACTCTTTATTGTGGCACGTTGCCAAGGTGATGCCAGTGGTAGTAAATTTAGAATAAGTGCCAAGAACACACAGTCTTGTTAAGTTGTCAGTCAGGGAATGGTTGTTCATTCGCACGGCGAGATCATAGTGCGCCAGGAAATCTGCACCTAATATCGGCATCTTGACGTCAGCAACAGTAAAATTCAAGTAAAGTCTCGTCGCATCCCTATGTTTAGGGTAAGGACTTCGTACCGTAAGTATTAATACTGGAACCATTTTGCTTGTAAGCGGAGCTGAAAAGTTGTTGACGAGCTTTATCACGCACGGGTAAGACACTAATGGCAGCGCCGGTATCAACCAAAAACGTAAATTATTACGCGTGTCCGTCACATAAAAAGGCGACTAAGTTTTGGTGAAAATGCCTTGCCAGCGAGATTAGTCGCTTTCACTCGCTGGCGGTTTTGTTTTCCGCGACCGCAGTATAAGTACACGGCTTGATGCAGTAATAAGCTTTAGACCCAAATCTTCGGTGGTAGTAACACATAGTAGGAGTGGCATCCTTATCTCGGCTGGACGAGCGTGGTCGACTTCTGAAGCGCCGGCGGGAAGGGAACCGGCTTCGACCACGGCTCTTTAGAGCTAATGTTAAATCTTTAACTTGAAGCTGCAATTCCTCGACTGTTTTTTCCAAGGACCTGTGGTCTCCAGTCGCTTCAGCACTGTGTACCGGCGTTGTCTGATTATCCAGTTGCGAGAAAATACGATCCGCAGCGTCCGCTAATTGATCGATCGAGGTGTTTTCGGACATTGGCGCAAAAATTTGGGTTATGGTGGTGGGGAGACGGTCCAGCCACAAGCTTTTTAATATAGAGTCAGCCATGGTATTTTTGCCGAGTCGGCTTTTCATATAACGAAGAAGTTGGGAGGGAGTCCTGCCATCACAAGTTAGGTTGCTAAATAGTTCCCGGATTAATGACTCCTCTGTACGGCCCATTCTCCTTAAGATTGCTTCTTTTAACCGCGCGTAGGGTTCTACTTCAGGTACGGCTTCTAGGAAGTCTGAGACCTCATCGACAATGGCGGTGGCAAAACCGCCACCACGGCCAAACTTGGTCTTTTGGTCTGTAATCCTTCTGACTGTGAAAATGGCTTCCATTTGCAGAGCCAGTTCTTTATATTCCCTTCATGAAGGGGGGAAAAGGAGCGACGGCGGCGGACATGTTCGCCGACTCTTCAGAGTCACTAGACGTCATTCCGGCTATCGAATTTATGCACGTTTATATTTAAAGCTTGCTCAGAAATATGTTGGCAAGGTTGCAAAATTATTACGTGTTCGTATCACGTCGTAAGGTCACCAATCTTGTTGCGGACCCTGTAGGGTGCAGTGCTGGATTATACTGAGTGGCCTTGTGCCAGACACCACACTAAACTACCGAGTCTACAAGCAAAGTAAAAAGATAACAATGTGCGTGGATGAACAACGAAGAAATGTGGTTAATCCACACGTGCATGATTAAAATATATTAACAAGATAGCCTCCTCGGAATGACTGAAAAGACTGGGTTTCAACAAAGAGTAATTTTTATTAAATGCAGGAAAAAAACAAGTAATTTGTCCCGTGGTAGGGACCAATGAAAAGTTCCGCGCCAAAATAGAAAACAAGATGGCTAAAAGGCGGGGAAGTTTCTTGAAGAAGGAGATGCCAGATAAGTCAATGTACATGATAATATTCATACAAGGAAAAATACTCACTGCGAGTTTTTAGGTAATGTGAGTGAATGTTATTGTTATGTACATATTTTTTTCTTTTTGTACTGGTTCAGAACAGATTTCTGACGAGACCCAAAGTGGACGACGGATTGTTATTTTGTATGTTCTGCATCGACTCGGTAGGACTTTGAATGACTAGTCTCAAAGGGCCGAAAAGTAATTATTTGGTATATGCATCATCTCGTAGAAGGATTTTTTTTGAATGACGAGCCGAAAGGGACGAGGAATTAATTATCTGGTGTTCTCATAGTCTTGTAGAAGGAATTCCGAATGACGAGCCAAAAGGGACGAGGAAAAAATTATCTGGTATTGCATCGTCTCGGAAAAGGGTTCTTGAATGACCAGCCAAAAGGAACGAAGAATTAATTATTTGGTATTTGCATCGTCTCGGAAAAATGATTATGAATGACGAGCCAGAAGGGACGAGGAATTAATTATTTGTGGTCGCATAGTATTATTTCCTTCGCCAGTCAACCTGAAATTTTGACATGGATAAAAATGAGTCTGCCCAGGTCAGAGTCTGGAACACAACTGAAATTTTCTGAAACAACAGTTTGTCGTTGACGTCACAAATTTTTCGCGGGAAGATTTCAAAAATCTAATTTGCATAACAGGTCGCTTGGTTGGTGACCAAAAACAGTTACTACTGTATTAGACCGAACGAGGGAGAAGGGGGGTGTCAAACGCGCGCATGCTGTGAAGAAGGAGGAAACTCGCGCGCGTAAAATGTCGTAGATGGAATAATACATTATTCCACAAGAGTTGGTGGAACTTAGGAATGTAGTCTATCTGAATATTTTCCATGGAAATAGCAACAGGGTAGTGAGAGGCTTGCAACATTTTGTCTGTTGGAAAGGGGTCATAGGATGGAAAATTAAAATAGCTGTTTGTGGAGAGAGGCTGCTTGAGTAGAATTTACATCTCACCAAGGAATATGAAGGTGGTTCACGACAATGTGTTTGTTATGGCAGGTCTTAGATGTGAAGGCTAGAAATGATGGAACTAAGGAATGTAGTTTATAGGATACAAATCCTATATCATTCCAACAAATGACTAAAAAACACAAAGTAGATTTGCACACCCGCAAAATCGGATCAAAACGACTAAAAACAGATTTCGCAATAAGGTGTGAAATTAATTTTCTGACAAATGAAAGGAGGCGATTTGCTAAACCAAAAAAAAAAAGATAACGAGCCAGTGTGGAAAAAAAAATCAACAATAAATACAGAGTTTCAAGTCAGTCGCCAGTCAGAAGGGCGCAGTGATCACAGAAGACTGACAGTAAATTCCATCACTGACTCAACCCGACACTAAGAGCCGAAAGTGGAGTAGGAAAGGACAACAACAACAAATTTACAACTGACTCCTAAGTACATTTTCCTTTTATCTTGTATTTCTCATTCACACTCTCTTTTTCAACTTAAATTGATCACCCCTTTTTCCTTTACATATATACAAAAACAAAAGAAACAGACATTACTCTGCTACTCTGTTAATAGACAGTGAACACAAACATTTTTGTCAAAATCACATTTTGCTTAAACTAACTAAAACATTAATCTTTTTTACCCTATTCACAAGATAATAAATATACAATGTTCTATTTTCTACCAACGTTCCTTATTGTGTTGTTTCTTCTTGAAATTTGCGTTGTATTTTGTGGGCAGGGTATCCCATATTAAATTCTCCTTTTAATCCGGGTACGCTGAACCCTACAAGTTCATCTGAACACTTTCCATGGAAATAACGACAGAGCAGCAAGAGGTTTGCAATGTTTCTTCTGTGGGTAAAGAACTGTAGAAGGGAAAATAATTCATCACCCACAAGACCGCATAGATGTTTCTGGCATCCATCAAGACTGGAAAGTTCCAACTCAGATATGGCAGCAGTACACCATTCTTTGGTCTGGTCAGAGCCAGGTAGAGGGTTACAGAGTAAGAGGCCCAATTTATGGGGATATGTGGGAAGATAATGGTTAACTATAGATTTAGACGTGTTCAGATTGTTGTGATCGAGGAAGCATCCTCTTGGGAGTTTAGTTGCACAAAGCAGCGGTTTATGAGAAGTACCTCCCAATGGAATATGAAGGGAATGAGGATGGTTCACTACAATGTGTTTGTTATGGCAGGTCTAAGCCGTGAAGGCTAGAAATGATGGAACTAAGGAATGTAGTTTATCTGAACACTTTCCATGGCAATAACGACAGAGCAGCAAGAGGTTTGCAATGTTTCTTCTGTGGGTAAAGAACTCTAGGATGGAAAATAATTCATCACCCACAAGACTGCATAGATGCATCTGTCATTGCTTGTGATATCTTCCTGCCAAACATGATTTTACCAAAGCTTTGTTCTTTGAAAAGTGTAGATTTTCCTCTAATTGGTTGTGCATCTGCTAACAAAGATGGACAGAAAAAAATCAGCGGCACTGGAATCAAACACTGGATCACGATGTTCATGGCACAAACAAGACTTCCACACGAGAACACCACACCTACAGGACAAACACAGCTGAGACACTGGAAGCACAAGCATAAATGGATGGACGAATTTCAAACGACACTGCGTAACGTGAATAGAAATCCAGTTATATGGTCAACACAGCAAACTGCCTCCTCAGAAAATGTGCCTGCTTTTATGGATCCTAAATCTTTAATGGTTGGTTAGCAAAGAAATCATTTGCATAGGTAACACCACTCAGCTCACTCTACTATCACGAGGAAGCTGATAGGCACTTTCTTTCTTTATAACCAGATGTTCCAGGGTTTGCACTGGCTCTGTTCTGGCAGGGCAGACGTGTTGTTTTTCTGCAGAGACAACACACTAAATGTTGTCTCTTTAACTGACAGGGGCAGCCACTGTTATCAGTAGCGTTTGCTCCATTTGCATTTCAAAAAGTCTACTTAAGGGAAAATGAAAAATCAAAAAAGGTTTAGAAGTCGTCATCCAAAATTATACATAGGAGTAACAGGAAGGTTATCAGTGCAATGAACTAAGCAAGCTGAATTCAAGTTCTATCCTCATCTGTGGTGGTCATTTCACACTAATGCTCTTGGAAAAGGCATCAATCTATCTCTTTTCAATATCAGCTATGCTTTAAATAACAGAATAGACTGGATTCTTTATCCTCCTGTGGAAACCAGTATGGGTGAAACCAATTCTGTATTCAAGACTGTGGAGGAAGCAACAGGGAACCAATATCTTTCCCAAGAGCTGCTATGTCATTTGACAGATATTAAAGGAAGGGTAAACTGTGGAGAGCCGTGTGCGACGTCACTCCGTGGCCTCTCTGCCCCGCACTCCGAGCCCACCGCCGTGCTATCCTGCGACGACCAATGTGACTTGGTATTGGTCGCGGCACCAAACGTGACGTTCTAACCCTTTGCTGATTCGGATGTGAATCTGGTTAGATTCGGTATCAGCCTTGTCGTTCCCAGCTCGCCTCCAACGTCTGGTTACCGAAGTAACTGCTTTGATTTCTCATCTAACCTACCCACGTTGTGATTTGATCTTAGGTAGACGAAATCAATCAATCGCCAGCCGCCAATGCAAGTCGAGGTCGAACAAGGGTAATACCCACAAGTATATGTAAAGAAAATAAAGTAACAACTCGAAAAGTTCAAATGTGTTAAAAAAGAATAACAATATTTTACATCTGGTTGCTGAACACAGGACTGCGTCTTTCTCCCAAACCGCTAATATGGATTCGTGACACCTTGCGTTTGTTAGGCGAGTCTTAACATCTTAAGTTTTTTAAGAATCTGGTTTTTGGTGTATATTCAGGCGATATTCATAAAACTTTTTTTGGTGGTGTGAGTCTAAGTCGTTCTTCAAAAATAAATTGTTCTTGGTTAGAAGTTGAGGTCGTGATTGCGTAGGATCTTTCAGTCAGCTTTCTGCGAGGTGGGTCTCAGAGCTCACAGCTCAACTCTGTCTGCCAACTGCGTCTGTGTTACTCACTCTGCAACTTCTTGCCTATCTGTGTTACTGACTCTACTACCTGCGACTCTGCTTATATGGACGCCGACCAAAACCGGGGTTGGCTTGTCGGGGTTTGAGGTTCCTTGATAATTCTAAATCCACAATAAGGATGTTCTTTGTTTTCGGACAGGAAAATTTATTACTTTCCATTTTTCGAAGTCCATTACTTTCTACTTAAAGGGAATCGTCCTCCCAAATTCTTCCTTTCTCATATTGGTATCTCACACCAATCCCCTCAGAGGGCGTCAACAGGTTCCCTTCTCTCTCACACCATTCCCTTCAGGGGGCATCAACAGGCCTCCCCTCCTTCTTCATAGTTTACCTTCGCCTACCGCTCACGCCACCCTTCAGCCAATGAACGCTCAGGGTGTGGCTAGACTGGCCTCGGTTTAAAAAACTCGCTCAAAGAAAAAAAATTATCTTCCCTTTTTTTTTCTTTTCTTCTTCCCGACAACAAACCGAACGTCGTCTGGAATTCGTCAACGAGATTTTCATCAAATAATCATTGAGGTTGGTCAATGATTTTCCGCACTCTGTCGCCAATTATCTGTTCCGATAAAAGAATTTTTCTATCATGGCCAGCTCTGACATAAAACAGGTGTTTTTCCCAAATGATATCTCCGCAGATAGTTAATGGTTTAATCTTTCCTTCTTTTTAACTTGTGGGTGATCCAGCTGACATTTTTCTCGGTCGGTGCGTGACCTGAATAATATTATCTCTTAGCATTCTGTTTTGTAGGCCACTTGACCAATTTGAAATTTTCATTATTGCCATGGGCAGACGACTATCTTTTATTCGCTCCGTCGTAACATGAATCAAATTAAATCCGATAGATCCGAGATCTTACTTTCTTCGCAAATGAAAATAAAATCTTTACCACTTTTCTTTGTTAGAAAAAATAACATCGCTCAGTGTCTTTTCGTCATAGCTTCTTTTCACCTTAATTCTCGCCTTTTTTTTTTCACGCAACCCTAAATAGTGTCCCACGTCATCAATTACATCCTGAAGGCATATGTCATTAAAAAAGATAAAAATTTAACAAAAATATGAGATGAGTCCATTATTTTCACCATTTTTTCCCCTTCTCTGCATCTTGTACAGTGTATTCTTTAGCCATCTTACTGTCTTCTGAGCTTCTTTCAGGGACCAGTCAATGACTGAAAAGTTTTATCTGGCTTTCTTTCACCCTAAGCAAGATGACAGTAACACTAGGATGCAGGGGCGGGGTTCCAGGGAGTAAAAAAGAATGAGATGACTTTAGTGGGAAGTGAGGAAAGGAACAGGGTTCAAGAGGACAGAAGATGGTGATTGATGTTGCATTTAAATTTTTGAAGATTGTAGTTGGCAGAAGGGAGTTTCACAGGCAAGCAAAGTGTGGGCTGCATCATTTACTTCAACAATAAAACAGAGAGACCTAATTGCCAATCTAGTAGCACACTTAAATGCATGTAGTTGGAGCTCCAGGGGAAAAAGCTCATCAGAACAGTTACCTTGAAAATATTTGTAGAAAAAACAGAGGGGAGACGTTTTGAACGTTAGAAGCATACAGCTGAAGTAGATTTTAGAAGGTTCTGGAAACCCACTAATAAACAGGCAACAGGAGTATAGGTGCATTCCTTGTTTCCTGTTTAGGACTGGGTTTCTGGTTCCTTCTAAAGTCTACTTCAACTCTATAATTCTAACATCTCCTCCCCTGTCATTTGAAAAGGAATAGATGTTTATCCCTTGTTTCCTGTTTAGGACTGGGTTTCCAGTTCCTTCTAAAGTCTACTTCTACAGTATACTTCTAATGTCTCAGCTTAAAAACTGAACTTTTATTTCTATTGAATTACATCTTCTTTTCTCAATAGGAGTAGATAGGTTTGCCTATAGTTTGGTTCACACTCCTCCTCGGTCTTTTGAACAGGAGTAGAGGTTTATCCCTTGTTTTCTGTTTAGGATGGGCTTCTGGTTCCTTTTAAAGTCAATTTCAGCTGAATCTGAAATTTTATTTACTATTTATTTTTTTCCTCAGTAAGAGTAGATAGTTTAGCCTATCATCCGGTTCACACTCCTCCCCATTTTTTGAACAGGAGTAGAGGGTTATCCCTTGTTAAGTCACAAAACAGGTCATATTGTATTCTGTTTTATGTCTATGCTAGTTTGGACATAGCACTATGCATTAGGTAGTTTATAACATAAACACTTGGGACGGACATTTCACAGTGCCTTGAAAACATGTATACATACGTACATAGGCAATATAAGATGTATGTCTACAGTAGCTGGAGTGTTAATCAGAGCTTCTCAGATGGAGCTCATCTCTATGCTAGGTTTACTGAGGAAGTTGTTAGAGTCTAACAAGTGCATTGATTCTTTGTCATTTCATCTTCAAGTGTTTTTTCTATGATTACACTGGCTGGCATTAAAAGTTTTTTTTTTCCCAAAGGTCAAAGGTTTATCAAGTGATATATGATTGCCATTTTATGCTGAATTCAGAAATACCATTCATTGTGTTTGGTCAGGTCTGGTTTTTAAGATGTGCTTGAATACTTCACAACAAGTTGTACACAATAATAACACTTATTCAAAAAGCCTGTCACAACTGATCGTGGGTGCCTGATGTTTAGTATAGCATATAATATTGTATGTGTACCTAACTACAGTGTACCACCCTACTTGCTAACACCCACATACCTAGAGGGGGTGGGGCTTAAAATGATTTTAATGTACTGCGTCAAGTGTCAGTGACAAGCTGAGTGCTGACTTATTTTTTTTCTTTTCAGCTTGACATTTGTATTCCTGTAAGAATGGATTGCAAGTGTAAGAATAATCCTGACATAATCCTGTGATAATGTGGTTCTTCCTAACCGTCAATCAAAAATTACTGACGTTGCGAAGAAGGTTTATCGCGATTATTTTGGAGTCAAACTAGGGGATCATGATAAGCCATTTCCCCACATTTGCCGTAAAACATGTGGAGAAGTTGAGGGATTGGAGGAATGGCAAAAGAAAGAGTATGCCATTTGCCATTCCAATGGTCTGAAGAGAAGGAAAAGATCACATTACAGACTGCTATTTCTGCATGATAAATCTAAAAGGAATAAATCGCAAGAACAAGCACCATGTCCAATACCCCAATGTCCCTCATGGCCCAGACCTTCCTGTTTCTGAGCCAGATGGTAACATGGAATATAGCTCTGATTCTGAATATAATGACAGGACTGTTGTAGCTGGGGCTGACACATACAAGCCAGAAGAGGATGACCAACCAGTACTCTTGACACAAGCTGAACTCAACAACTCGACACGAGACTTGAACCTTTCAAAGGAGTCTGCTCATCTGCTGGATTCACATCTCAAAGAGAAACATTTGTTGGCACCAGGAACAATGTTCTGCCGGCATTGAGACCATGAGAGAGAATTAAGACAGTTTTTCATATTCTAGGATAAGTTATCATTGGTTTATTGCAACAACGTTGGTAGATTGATCAAATCAAATCAATGGGCTTAGAGTATGATGCTATGGAATGGAGACTTTTTATTGACACATCCAGCAGAAATCTCAAAGCAGTTCTACATAATGGGAATAGTTTTTCCTCTATCCCTATTGGGCATTTATTACAAATGAAAGAAACTCACAACAGCATGAATCATTTATTGTCTGCTGTTAACTATTGGGAGCACAAGGAGTTGGACTGGTCCTAGGACTCCAACGTGAGTACACAAAGTATCCTTGTTTTCTGTGTTTCTTGGACAGTCGGGCTGATGACTAACATTATGTGAGACAAGAGTGGCCATTAAGACAAGTGTTAAAAGCCTGGCTTGCATAACATTCAGTCTCACACTCTTGTTGAACTGAACAAAATACTGCTTCCACCCTTACATGTAAGTTAGGAGTAATGAAGAACTTTGTGAAAGCAATGGACAGGGAAGGAAGCAGGTTTGCTTTCCTCTAGGATAAGCATGGAGAAACTCAAGGCTGGTATATCTGACGGCCTGCAAATAAGAGATCTCATGAAGGACCCAATGTTTGACGAAGCACTGAGCAAAGCTGAACTATCCGCCTGAAGTCAGTAGTTACAAACTTTCTGGGAAACCACCAGTGTGCAGAATACAAGAAGGAAATTGAAGAACTACTGAAGAGTTTCCACCAACAAAGGGCACGAATGTCAGTCAAACTGCACTTTCTGTGGTCACACTTGGACTATTTTCTAAAGAACTGTGGAGATTTGAGTGAAGAGCAGAGTGAGCACTTCTACTAAGACATTTGCATTATAGAAGAGCACTACCAAGGCTAGTGGGATGCAAACTTTCTCACTGACTACTGCTGGTGCTTGAAACAGGATGCAGTGGTTGCCAAGCACGGGAGGTAGTCCCTAAAAAAGACCTTTCATCCATGAATAGCTACTTTTGTGTATTTTTCAGTTTACTATGGCACAATGTGAGCTTTCTGTGAATATATCAGCCCTAAATTTAGCAAAAAAAAAAAAAAAACTGCTTTAAAATCAGTTATTATATATTCAACCAAGAAAACATTGCATGCCAGTGTTATTGACTTAATTCTGCAGGGGTTGATGACCATCCTTTTATGTCCATATATGATCTGTCATGCCTAATTTCAGTATAATTCTCTGGACTACAGACTTTTAATGTTCTTCCACCCTAGCAATGCCACAACAGCAAGAAGAATTATAAAATGACGAAAATATGTGTAATTTACTGTTACAACATTGCTTTTCTCTCACTTTCATTCTTTCTTTCCTTGCTTTCACTTCACTGAAGCAGACTTTAAGTGTTTGCTTAGTTAAGCAATGTCAAGCCTGATCAGTACCTAGATGGGTGACTACTTGGGAATATCAGTTGCTGTAAGTTTGAATATATAGGTGGTATGTGAGAAAACCACTTGGAGCTGGAAATTGGATAGCCAAGTTCCAATTCCAGTTGGGTTCATTATATTCATTTACATGCAAATACTCATGGTAAAAATTATGGGATGAATTTAACTCTTATTTTTCAAGATATGGGTTAATTAGTACAACTCATATCAGTAAATTATCTCCAAAAAAATTCTTACAATCAAATATTTTCTGGTTTTAAATAAATTGCAAAGGGTTGATAAACCATAAAAACTTTCTTTTTCTAACTAAAATAAGTGTCCCTGATATATATTTTTATCTTTCCGCACCATCAAAGCAGAATGGTCCATTTTTTATCTGAGGTGATGGAAGAGTGTATAATGAAATTTTCAAATTTAATAAAAATTTATTATCATCATTGTAATGTCATTTTTTTTTAGATTAAAATTAAATTTCAATCTTATGCTTTCCTTTTCTCAATAAAACCAAACATATTTGATATATCTTTTTCTTCCATTTTTCCTTGCAATGAAAATGGAATGGTCTATTATTTATCTGAGACAATGGCAAGCCATAACAGATAGGAAGGAAAATGCAGAGTTAAAATGTGGTTCTTCTGTTTGTTAAAGTATTGTCAAGCATCATTAACTTTTGATTTGAATTTCTTTCACTGCAACTACTTGAACCCAATCATTGCGAATCAGAAATAAAGAATTAACACTTGGTGAGGATCAAACTCTCTTTTTCTCAAAATGTCTCATTCAGTTTTGTCACCTGGACTACAAATCCCTACAGGTGAAACTTACACGTAAAAGAACTGCTCTTGATATTTGAAAATTGATAAAAAAGAAAAACAAAAAAAGGAAATCTGTTTATAATTATTCAAAGATTTTTAATTGTAAAAAATAAAATTGCAACTTGAAAGAATTTTGGTTTGAAACTTTCTAATATTTCTGTTAAGACTCAGTCAGTTAAGTACCACACGATACACAGTTGGGCAAACGTGTTTTTCGATACATGACTGAGGCAGAAGATTTTTTCAGCAGTAGGTTGCCATTTCTTTTTGTGATAGTAGACTGGTTGCCAACCAAGGCTAAAGAACTCAGTGTCTTGCTATTTAACACACAGCTGGGAGAAGAAATGGATTCATACTTTTCCCAATGGTACTTGTGTGTAAGTGAATATAATGAAAAATGGGATTTGAACTCCGAGTTCACATTCTGAGATGATATCCATTACACCACAATGCACTGTTAAGACTAGGTACCTGAAACTAAAGTTCCATTTTTAATATATCTAATAACCTTTAATACAGAGAGAACTTGACAAAACATAAAAAAGTACCATATTTATCTTGGTAGCCCAATTAGTAACAAGGTTATATTTAATTTAAATAAAGTGTTCATTTCATGTTTCATCTGTTTTTACATATTTAAAATGTCTTCCTTTTTCACATTTTTTAGTACTAGGCCCTATAGACCTCCTCCCTACTTGAGTCTTAGGGACATACAATCAACTTGGCCCCAGGCATCACCAAACATTACCAAACCTTTGCATGTCATTGCCCTAATTTGACATTTTCAGCCTGTCAACTAGAACAGTTTGGTTTATCTACTAAAAACACTTTTCCAAGTTTGACTCCTCTTGTTCAAAATTTCATTTTTCTATCAAAGGTAAACAAAAGTTCAAACGTTGTTCGAATGAGGATTTTTACAATATAAGTAACATTTAGTTTATATATACAAGATGTTTTTAATACAAATTCTTTTAAATCACAGAGTAAATTTTTTTTTTCTTTCATCCATTTTACTTAAAAGTGAACATATCTTTGACAGTGTATATACGAATATTCTGACCAAGCATTTTCAGCTGTTTAACTATCATCTTCAGTATAAGAATGTAAAAACATTATTTACATTATTTGGACTAATGTCCTCACCTTTGTCGCCATATTTATCACGTTTCGGCTGTTGTATGCTCCGGCCTTCTTCAGGTGGTTGGAATTTTGAATTGAACCCTTTATTTTGCTCACTGGGGTAGACTGTTCTGTGGATGTCAGTTATCTCCTGCTAATTTCTCTCTCCACTGCCTTAACCGGGTATTGACTGTCACTGGATCTAACCAACGCCTTTATCCACTGTGCCATGTGTCCTTGAGGACATCTGGGTATGAATTTCTGGGTATTATAAACCTAATGTCTTCAGCAACCATTTTTACCAGTGTTCATATAATAACAATACCTCATCTCAGAAATATAGACAGACTCTGAAGAATGTAAAAATATGTAATCTTTAACCAAACTTTTGAGAAAGGAAAGCTTGGAGAATCTGATACTCACAGGGTGGTTAGAGGTAAAGAGAGACAAGAGAAAGCAACATGTGACATACTTAGTGGGCTTAAGTAAGTAGATGGTAGAACAGGGTCTGGGAGAAGTAACAAAAGGATATAACATATTGAGAATTACAAGGGATAGGAGGAAGTGGAGAGCCATGATCACCTATGTCCTGAAGGGACATGGCACATAAAAGAAGAATAACCATTTTCAATATAAGAATGTAAAAATATGTGATCTTTAATCAGACTTTTGTGTATTTGTAGAAACACATACTTCAGTTATAATTCTGGAGATAAGGAGTTATCATTATTTGAATTATTTTTACTTGGACGATTATCCTCATCTTAGTTGTTATTATCACAACACTTTGGTCAGTGAGACCTCTGGCCTTCACCAGGTACTTGTCAATCCATGTAACTTTCAAAGAATTTCAAACTGAACTATTCATGGCAAAGTTTAACCTTTGGACCTGAAAAAAAAAAGAAAAAGAAAGAAAGGAGTGTAAAAAAGGACATTTTTTTTCTCTCTTAATACTGATAACATCCAATCCCTGAATTGTGTAGACTTGGATCCAGTGGAAACTGGGTGAACAATAACTGAGCATTACTAAATAAAAACTAGACGAGATATCTCTAGACATGGTCTGTGGAATGAGAACAATCTATCTCTATTGATTGAATAAAGTGGGTAATGATTAACTTCTTTCATACCCACAAAAATGATATGTCAAAAGGACAATTTTTCTCTTGGCATCACTATTACAGTATAGTAACTCAACTCTCTTGGTAATGTTTAGTGTTTTAAAAAGCCATGTTGACAATTTTAATACTACTTGTTAGATTGTTTAATTACATGATTAATTTTATATTTATAAGATTATAAAAATGTGATCCAACTACAATGCAATATTCATTATTTCAGTTAGTCAGTTATGTGCCATGCATGATACATGCTTAGGCGATCATGTATCTTTTAATACATGACTGCCGAAGCAGATTTTTCCTTGCAGTAGGTCATCATTTCTTTCTGCAGTTGCTCGGCTTCCATGCAAGGCTATAGTACCCGATCTGTCCTACTACTTACCCATAGCTTGGGGGAGGGTAGAAGAAGAGAATTCATACCTTTCCCAAGGGTATGGCATGTAAGAGAATGTAATAGATTCGACTGAAATTCAAACTCAGCTCTCCGATGCCTAAATCCAAGCTACTATCAATTACTCCACCATATCTTACCATTTTATAAAGAAATATGAAAACAAATCTTTTTATTAAAAATTGTCTGTGAACTATGATTTTTCCAGACATTTTCTTCACAAATTATTTTGTATCTCAGATTACTTCTAGTTTTAATGTTCCAATTTTGTTTTTTATAATCGTAATCTAAGATTAAGGATGACTTCTCAATAGAAATACCTGGTAAAAATTTGACATTCTATAATTACATACAGGGAAAATCTTGTCCACCCAATGAATTGGGAGATACACACTCAAAATGTTTGTGGTGTTGCCATGTAGACTGGGTTACATTTGTAATTAGTGGCTAGTCTGTTTTCAAAGTTTAATGTGTGTAGTAGGGAGTTAACTGAGGAGTTTACTGTTTAACAGTGACAGGATATTCATATTGTATGAAAAATATATATATATATATATATATATATATATATATATATATATATATATATATATATAAAAAAGAAATATGGTTTTAAGGTGTATTATATTTATGGGACAAAGTGCTCAATATCAGAGATAGAGTGTATGTAAATATAAATATAAAAGTGAACATTGGAATCAAGATTCAGAGGCGACAGGCTGTTTCAGGCTAGACGCAATTGTATATATATATATATATATATATATATACACAGACACACACATACATATACATGTATACATATATACACACATATACAAGCATGTTTTTTTATATACATATATTGTGCAGTCACCAAAAACAAATAATGTGCAGGCATGAAACTAAAAATGTTAATTGGCGACAATTTACACATTGCACTGCCTTTCTCTTTATAATATATATATATATATATATATATATATAGGTAGATAGATAGTTGCATATCTTTATGTGCTTATTTAAATTTTCTTTTTCTTTAGAGATCTATTTAAATTTATGAATATTTCTTCATATCGTAAATAGTAAATATTTCATTATAAATAGTACATATATTTTTATAATCTTGTAAATATAAAATTAATCTGGTAAATAAACAATGTAACAATTAATATGTAACATTTAATATTCTGAAACAAACATTGCCAAGGAAGTTGAGGCAATAAACACCAAAAGTAGCATAAGAGAAAAACCACCATTTTGACACACTGTTTTTTTTTTGTGAGCCCAAAGTTTAAACTTTGCCTCCTTTATTTAATCTATGGAGATGAACTGTTCTCATTCCATATTGTTCACCCAGTTTCCAATGAATCTAATTCTACACTAACCAGCAAAGGATATCATCAAATTCACAAACTAAAGTTTTTAATTAAATAGTTTTTGATCAACAAGCAACTAATAGATACTAGAGGGCACAATGACTGAAACATTGTTATAATAACAACAACAAAGATGAGGACAATAGCCCAAGTGTAAACAATATCTCTATAATACTAAAACTCTAATCTTGTATGTATTTATGCCTGTGTGTGTGTGTTCCCAAGATACAACTTGAAAAATACATAATACCGCAACCAATTTAAGAGCATATTATACCTTGAACTTCTGCTGAGTGCAATGCTGAAGTTCATTAAAATTAGACAAGGTGTTCTTCAGCTAGGGCCGTTTTTCTGTTTTTACAGCATTTTTAATAGGAAATTCAGTATTTGTTTTCAATACACATTCTTATATCAATCTGTGCACATAAACAAACACTTGCATATTATATTCCAACTATTATATGTGCAAAAAAATGATAGACATTTATAAAATATTATGACAATATTATTAAATAAATTTAAATATGTATAACACAATATATATTAATACAATTCATTACACTACAGTAGAACTTCTTTTTAAACAACTATTTGAAAGATATGCGTCACACAACTTGATGGTGCAAGCTGATTTGCTGCCATTATGTATTTTGAAATAAATGTGAAAATGAAAGTATACTTCAGTATCTGTCTATATTTCTGAGATGAGGTATTATGTACATTATTTACATTATTCGGACTATTGTTCTCATATTTATTACAATGTTTTGGCTGTTGTATGCTCCAGCCTTCTGAAGAAGGCCGGAGCGTACTACGACCAAAACATTGGCAACAAAGATGAGGACAATAGTCTGAATAATGTAAATAATGAAAGTATACTTATTATTTTGAAAATGACTACACCAGTTTTAAGCTATTACTCACAATTTCCATGCAATGTGTTAATTTTAAGCCCAGTGGAACAATAAACCTTCATTTACTGACTTCAGTATTAATTTTGTATTTAAAGTAAATTTTATAGAAGAAAATTCTCTTTTAATGTAAAAAAAGTGAAACATATATCTATTGATATTGTAAAATAATTTATTCTCATGCTTTAAATCAGGCTATATTTGCATTAAGGTGTTTCTGGTACTTTTCATTTGCTTTGGGACAAAAGATTTTTACTTATTATTAACTAATGAAAAAAAGAACTTTTTGCAAAAGGTGACACCTGTCTTAAACTATTACTTAAATGTTGGTGCAATATGCTAACTATGAAGCACAGTGGAACAATAAACCTTCTTTTACCAGCTTTTAATACAAATTAAAATGTATAATTCATAAGAAAATTGATATGTTACATCATTTTGTATCATCAACTGCTTTTAAAGGAAACTCAACAGGTTTATGGGTGGTCTAGTATATATACATATATATGTATAAAACATTTTTAATATTTCAAAATATATACATACTATATCTAAAATAAATACATATATATGCAGTGTAGGAGTGATTTTTCTAAGGAAAAATAACGTGAATTTGCTTACCCCTCTTGAAAATCGGAATTTACTTGCAATGAGCATTAATTAAAATGTGAAAATATCAAGATATTATTCATAAAGATGTTATCAGTAATAACCTTTTTTATTGTATCTCATGCTATCAAATCGTCAGGAAAATTTTCTAAAAACTGGAGTCGCATAGCAATTAATTTATTGCCTCGTATTCTGGCAACGTTTTTTATACTTTTCTCGTCGGTGGAGGAAATGATTTGATCTTCTTCTTTACTCCAAGGCTTCAATTCTGAAAAAAAAAAAAAAATTAAAGTGTTTTTGTTTTTTATAAAAGTGTAATGTCAATAACCAAGGGAGATAATAATAATACGCTATTACCTCCCTTGGAATTATTCCGCAGACACTATACCAACCCCACCGAGATAGAAGGCCTATTCGATTAAACGTGTCGTCACAAGTTGAATAAGCCGAAGCGAAGCGAAGCTGCTGAAAATGAATTATTATAGAATACTTTTAAAATTACAATTATAAAAAAAATGGAAACCAGCATTTGAATTTCATCTTAGAAATATTAGTTTATAAAAATAAAGAAAATAAAAAATAAAAAAGCAAACAATATTATTCTTCAATTATGTGGCGTGTCCTTTCAGGCGATCATGGCTATCTACTTCTTCCTGTCCCTTGTAGTTCTCAAAAAGTTTTGTCTTTGTTATTTCTTCCAGACCCTATTCTGCCATCCACTTGCATAAACCCATTAAGTATGTCACATGCTGCTTTCCCTTGTTCCTCTATCCGTCCTGTGAGTATCAGATTTTTCAAGCCCTCATTTCTCATTACATATCCCAGAAATTTCAGCTGTCTCTTCCCGATATTAAGTATAATTTTCCTTTTTTTTTGTACCCACTCCACAACCTCATCGCTGCTCACATGTTCAGTCCATGACATCTTTAGCATCCTTCTGTAGAATCATACTTCTGTTGTCTTGAGTCTCTTCTTCAGAAGACTATCCAACATTCACTTTTGTAAAGGAGAATAGAGATCACATAGCAATTCAGCACTCTTTCCTTTGCTACCCTCCTGTCTTGTAATACTCTGCCTAGCTTTTGGAATGCATTTTTGGCCATCCCAATATGTCTTCAGATCTCAGTGTCACACTTTCTGTCCTCTGTCAAAACACTTCTCAGATATTTAAATTTCCACACCTGCTTGATTTTAGTAAAAGACCTGTAAATTGCATTTTGGGCTTATCTTTTTGTTGATAACTATGCATTTTGTCTTCTTGTAGTCCCTTCTTCTTGCTCTCCTTCACTACCTTCTGTAGTAGATTTTGTAATTTCCTTTCCGTGTTTGCTATCAGCATTGTGTCATCTGCATATCTTATGTTAAGACTGTGGCCACCAATTATGAATCCTGGTAGGATTTTCAGTTTCTCTCAGAATTGTCTCGCTGTATAGGCTGAATAAGCGGTAAAAAGACATCCTTGTCTAGGCACTTGGGTAGGTTTTGCAGTGAACCATAGCATTCCTGAATCTTTTGTTGATAGTTATGCAGTCAATTTGGTTTTTAGTTTTTTCTCCTGGGCTTCTTCATGTCCGTAATTGTCTCAGATATTCTTGGAACCATGTGTTGGCTATTACCTAGTCATTGGCTGTGTATCATTGGACTCATTTTTCTCCAAGTTCATTGCAGGTTCCTAGTCTGAATTTGCCAGCTATCTCTCCTGCCTACTTTGGTGTTCAGGTATCTCATGATAATTATGACTTCTTGTGATTTGCAATGAGCCTTGGCGTTGTCTAGCATGGAGTAGAAAGATTTGATTTCTTTTTCCTTACTTTGTGCTGTCAGTGCATACACTATTATGATAGCTATGTTGAAAGGCTTTCCTTTCAGTTTGACTATCAGAATTCGGATAATTGGTAGTATCTCATAATGCCTTTCTTGAATTCTTGATCTAGTATCAATCCTACTCCTTTATTGTTTTTCTCTCCGCCTGCATATATAATCTTGTGATTGTCAGAAAAATCTCTGTTGTTTGGCCATCTAGTTTCACATACAACTAAGATGTTGATTTCTAGCCTACTCATCTCCTGCTTTACATTTTCTAACTGGCCACAGTTGTTCAATGTCCTAATGTTCCATGTCCCGAGAGTTATTTTTTGATTGATGTGAGCAGTCGCTGGATAATGGTCTGGTGACACCTGTCACTCCTTTCCAGGCAAGGGATAGGTTCCAAGGAATTTTATCCCCTTTTATGCTAGTAGTCACTGGATGACGGTCAGGTGACACATATTGCACATGTCAGTCCTTACTGGATGAGGAGTTAATTCCCATAGACTTAACCCCTTCACACCATTAGGTTTCATAATGTGTGTTATTTGCCATGATATTTCTTGGGATTAATAGTAAAGTGGTTTCTCATTGTCTTCTGCACTGTGGTTTATGGAGACACTGCCTCTAGTTAGATGGCTGTTGACTCATCGAGAGTTCTTCTGCCCTTTGTTAGGTCTTATTTTTCGTCCTACTGTCATGCTAACAAGCTGCCTCGCTCACAAGAACCTGGAGTGGTGTAGCTGGTTTAGTCGCCAACATTTCAACAGTGGAATACTTACCCTATATATATTTTGAACAATAAAAAAAATATTAAAAAATTAAAATCTTCAGACACACTGGGTTGTAGATTATTCTTTTGTTTTTTTTATTATTATTTCATTTAGATTCCTCGACTAGTTTCGGACGAAATGGCCATCATTGGGAGGAGAAATATTTCTGCTTGCTGCTAGCAGTAAACTACAGAAATGAATGTCTTGCTGGAGAAAATGAACTTTTGTCTGTAGTTTTCATTTGTTTTTTTATTTTTTTATCTTTTTAACATGAATCTTTTAACATTCCTTGTGTTGGTCAAACAGTCTCCTTTAAGTTGTTATTTGAGATAAGAGCTGGATGGATCTATGCTTCTCTGAATTCCCGTGGTCATTTTGACAGTTTTATTGGTCCTGAGAGGGTATGTGTCTCTGTTAAGTGTTTGTGTGTGTTATTTGGCTCATTAGGGAGTGAGTGAGTATGATATGTGTAGGTGTGTGTAATAAGTGTGAGGCCTCCACACCTCTCTCTCTCTCTCTCTATATATATATATATATATATATATATTAAAACAAGAAAGAAGACTCCCACCAATCTGTTTGTGAGTAAAAGGTTTGTGGGTCAGAGTTAGTAAAGGGGGCAGAAGATTGTTAAGGTGGGGGGGGGGGAATAGAATAAGATGATTAAGCTTTAAGCTAACAAGTCCAAAACAAAAAAAAAAAAAAATACTATAAAATCATTTTATTCTGTAAAGTTATGATGCTGACAAATGAAATTGACGGAATAATTTTTCACATCACACGATGAAAAGCAAATCAGGGTTTGATTTCTACCTTCTATCTTTAGATAAAGAACAAACAAACAATAGATTAAAAATCAGTTTTTATTTTAATGATTATTTCATGAAGTCTACTGACATGGAATATTTTCTATATTACAATTACATTGGAAAAGAAAGAAATGAAGCTTTGATTTTTACCTTAGAATAAACTTTATTTTCTAAAGGAATATTATTAAAAGTTTTACATTTGTTGCTATGTTAAAGTAGTGTAGGCTTCATTATTGAATTTAAAGATTGTAAAATTCCTTCTTATTTTGATAGTGTAAAATTATCTGAAAAATATTTTCTTTACAATAAAAAATTTCAACATGGTTTTAATTTGCATGTTTTATTTTAAGATTTTCTGTAACAGTAAAGCTACAATATTGACATTTTTGATGTGTAGAAACTAAAAGACAAATTTTAAATAATTGTAGGGAAAAATGTTACATAGGCACATGGGAAATTTAGCTGAATTTTTGAAGTTTTCTTTTTTTGGTTAACTTGTTGTTGATGATGATGATGATGATAATAATTATTATTATTATTTTTTTTTCCCTTAGTACAAACATTATTCAAAAGAACATTTAAAGAACTCCAGACAAGGATTCTTTCCAATTTTTCAATCTTGTGGCAAGAGTCCATATGAAAAAGATGATTGTTTTCTGTCAAAACATTCAAAGTTATGTGCATGGCTAATTTCCTCTGATTTACTGAATGAAAAAAAGAAAAATTTTTGGTCAATTTACCAATAACTATAGAATTATAGAGAACAGCATTTGTAGCAGTATCATTAGGATGTAGCAGAGAACCTCTATTAATCCCCTGAAAATAGGGACTTATTTCAGGTATTTTGTCCCCATTATCACTTCCAGATATTAAATTCTTGCAACTGTTGCATTTCATTTCCTTAAAAAGTGCATAACAGTAACAACCAGCTAAGTATAACAGGAACAACTTCTCTGCATTCATTACCATCGTCATCATGTTAAATATCTAAATATTAATATCTAAATTTTGCTACCCTGCCACTTAATCCCAGTTAGTTTGTAAATTCTTCAAATCAATACGTTGGCAGGCTCAATTTTAAAACTGATATCATTTTCATTTTTTTGTTCACACTCAAACACTTGATGTATAGAAATATTATATTGATTTCCACCAAGTTGCCGATGCTGGCCAAATCTATCCTGATCTGTTTGAAATTTACCTGGTAATACTGACATCATTTTCAATTATTCTGTGCAATATTTGGCCAGTTCTAGAATTGTCTGAGTAGTATGATGCAAAGCTGTAAAGGTTTCATTTGTTAGCTTCCCATTATTTCCAGTAATGATATTCCAAGATTGTTGCAGAATATACTGAGAAATATATAAGTGTCATCATTTACTTTAAGTGGATTAGCATATTTATTAAGCCGACAAGATTTATATGGTATTTTTAAATTCAGTATTGTCTACCAAGTATAAAATATGTTTATGTATTCAGCAAATTCTACAAAGTTAGGCAAACATTTATTTCTCTAAGGTCAGCAATCCCTGAATAGTGAATTGGTTAAAAAATTTGCAAAACTAATGAAACATTTTGCCTTTCAAAATTAATGGGAGAAAAAGCTTTTGAGGTCAACTTATAGCAATATTTCAAAACTGACTGAGATTCTGGAACATGAAGCTTCTGTAAAATACAAAATGGAGCAATTTGGATATTATCTAAATCATGATTTCTATTATGACAAAATTTTGTGAACATCATGCATTTACTTGCATCTTTTTGACCAAGCCAGTTCTTTGTAATGCATTTTAATATATGAACTGAATCAAATATGAAGAGATTAGATTTCATAACTGGATGTGGACATACAATTGAATGTTTTGCAAAAGAAAACTATAGCCTTCTTATTTATTGCATTATTATTTGTTATGACTGATATTACTCTAAAGCCCATCTCTTCTAGATCAATTATTACACGTTTAACAATGTCAAATAAATTCTCAGCTTTAAGACATTTAGTTAGCATAATAGACACAACATCCTTGTATATCATGAGAATACATTGCTAAGCATAAAAGCAAAAGCACTTGTTGCAGACTCATTGCTGTTGTCAGCTAAGCTAACAACATTACCACCTTTATAATCAAAATCAGGTTTTAGGTGAATTACAGTATCTACAAGATACTGTAATGTCTTTTGACTCTAGTAACTTAAACTTATTTTTAATATACATAAGAAAATTGTTATATTGCTCAACTATAGGATTCATATAGATTGATAAGATTAGTCTTCTGAGGGCTGAATAACTAGGGAAAATTATATTTTGGTATCTGTTTGTAACACTTCAGGCTTGATCCTGGTTCACGGCAAATGCCAACAAATGTCATGTTTCATCACGGTCAGCCTGGATCCTGGTTTGATCAATGGAGTGATCTTTGATCCTGACCTTCTTTACCCCATGTTGTGATTGATTTGATTATAAGGAGGCCAAGATTGATTTGTCGCGGGTATCTTCGTGTTGGGCTGGTCCAAGTTGAGCAAAGCCATACAATAAAATTGGTTGGTTCAAGGCTGAAGTTGGAGGTTCTTGTGTTTGGCAGGAGTTGTGGAATCTCAGCAACCTTTGCCACTTCCCTTCTCAACTGTCTACTCTCAACTCTCTGAATGGATTTTGTGCAATCATTTTTATGGACTCCAACTAGAAACTGGTACAGGGCAAGATGTAGGTTGGGTTTTGGTGAATCCCCTGATTTCCAACAAAAGTCCATTGTTTTTGGTCCTGAGAAATTAAATTACTTCATGATTTTAGGGAATTTTCCTTCTCTCATGTGAGATGGATGCCAGCATCACTCTGCCTGGTTACTTCTACTTTCTCTTATTACCATCTTCCACTAGTGCTTTCCAGTGGGTGTGGGCAGCTCCTTTAACCTCCTTAATGTCTCGTCTGTGACTGCTACCCTTCAGTGGGTGCAGGCAGCCCCTCCTCCTCCATCCTTAATTACTCTTCTGTGCTTGTCACCTCCAGCATTCGACTGATTAAAAAAAATTATGGTTCTAAATGCTATCATCTCATAAGTGAATTGACACAACAATTGGCTTTCTCACCTTTGACCCAAGAGACACTTTCCCAGGGAAAATTTTGCATCTCAAATTATGATGACAATTCCTTCAATTGAAGGTCAGTATTCTGCAGGTGTTCAATTTATTGTTTTCCATACTTGCCACCTTTGTAAAATAAATTCATTTGGCTTAACCTAATTCTCTTCATGTTGATCCAGGTATTGTTTGCTGAAGATTGTCAACACTTGATCTGTTCACACAAACCAAGCATTGCTGCTTTCAGCCGGTCACCTGGTCTACTGTATAAATCTCGGTTCACTGGGAAACAGTTATTATCGATCTATTGTTCTTGATATTTTTTTTTTAACCTTTTTCATGCTAAGTTATTCATCATTATCTCATTTTCATTGATATTCCAAGTTGATATCATTATTAATTACCAGCAAACCAAATAGTGTTACATTTTAACAGCCTACACTCTTTAGAGTAGTTATACAATAATGAAGAATTGTTATCATGTTTATCAACTATAGGATTCATATAGGTTGATAAGGTTAGTCTTCTGATGGTTGAATAACTAAGGACAATTATATATTTGCTGTCTATTAACAGCCTATAACCTCAAGGAGAGCAGTTATAAAATAATGAAGAATTGTTATGTTTATCAACTATAGGATTCATATAGGTTGATAAGGTTAGTCTTCTGATGGTTGAATAACTAAGGACAATTATATATTTGCTGTCTATTAACAGCCTATAACCTCTAGGAGAGTGGTTATACAATAATGAAGAATTGTTATCATGTTTATCAACTATAGGATTCATATAGGTTGACAAGGTTAGTCTTCTGATGGTTGAATAACTAAGGACAATTATATATTTGCTGTCTATTAACAGCCTATAACCTCTAGGAGAGTGGTTATACAATAATGAAGAATTGTTATCATGTTTATCAACTATAGGATTCATATAGGTTGACAAGGTTAGTCTTCTGATGGTTGAATAACTAAGGACAATTATATATTTGCTGTCTATTAACAGCCTATAACCTCTAGGAGAGCGGTTATACAATAATGAAGAAAAAAATCATCATTTCTGCTGAATAATCAAACTTACCCTGTGTCATTAATTTTAGCTGCTTATATATAAATTTAACTGCATAAAAATATCTAAATGACTTCTCTTGCACTAATAACAGAAAAGACATCACCAAATGTAATACAGCAATCACACTTTGAGGTTTGGTTTGACATTCTTCTATGTCATTTTTTTCATGTTTTCTATAATAATTTCCATTTGTATTATTTACATGATCAAGAATCTTATACTCCCTTATCGTATTAATTTCCACATCACCACAAAATGCATGTACTGCAAAATCAGGTTCAATTATGACAGATTGACTGATTTTAGGATATGGAAATTTGATGATGCAACACATAATAATATGAGTCTCTATCTATTCCAGTAATTTCTTTCAAGAAAATTTAATTTTCTCTCTACATCATTAATGTTGTGGAATTTCCTCTGCTGTTTGTATTCGAAGTCATCAGCAATACTTTGATCTAAAGCTCTTTTAAGGGTAGAATTCCACAGTTGAATTTTTCTGGACTCTGGTGACTCTCTAGAGGGGGTTAGTGAAGGAACAGTTTGTTAAAATTCTAGGGATTAGACCTACATGAAGAATTGCTGGCACTAATGGTGGCACCAGTTTTCTTATTGAATACTGATGTTTCTTGCCTTATGTCCTCAGATCAAAAATGCAGTTCACATACCTAAAAAAATGAATTAAAAGGGCAATTAAACCCTATTTAAAATGCTTGTCAAAATCAAAGATAGTAAAAAAAAAAATACAATAACATGAGGGAAAGTTCCAGATGTATTGGGGGGAAAATTTTATTTAAAAAATATTGTTCATATTTTTATGGAAAATTTCATTTTATCAATTGAGATAAAATAATGAGCTTTGTAGGTGTTCTAAAATTCAGTACCAAAATTCAAAACCATTTCGTTAGAAATACTAAACAAAGGCAAAATCATATTTTTAAACTTAAGTAACTTTTAAGTTTACACATGTATATTTTTTAATGTTTTTATGGAAATATTTTTTTTTTTTTTTACAAATAAAAGTGTAAATGTTTGTTTTTAAAAGTTTATTAGAAATTATTATAAAAATATAAGTATTTGTATTGAAAATTTTAATAAAAAATGATGAGTTTAATAAATAATTTCATCCACAAAATTCAAATCTTTTAGTTTTAATGGTTGAGGTCGCTTCATTACTTTGTTTTAATGTATCGTGAATTATAGTCATGAAATTAATTTAATCATTAAGTTTTAATGTTTTTACAAATAATATAAAAGAAATTACTCACTCTACTATTTTTGTTTGGTATAAAATTTTCTCTTTTGATTGCACGTATCCATGGATCTGATAAATCCTTCTCTTTTGGAAATGAAAATATGTTCACTTTTGGTCCATTTTGATAATTTCCTTTGCATTTTGGGAAAGCGCAACCATACAACATTTTTTTGGTAAATTATTTCAGTGAAAATATTTACAAAACAAATAAAAAAATGAAGTCGACTCAAGAAATATCAAACAGTGAAAACAAATGAAAGTATTTCTCTGATTTTATATTACAGAAAGTAACGTTAGCAAATAAACCCCACCCATCAAACAGGCCTTCTATCTAGGTGGTGTTGCACCATACCCGTGAATAACGGAAGATTAAGAAATGAAAGATTGTTATATTTGTGTAACTGCTGCAAGGATTTATCATCTATACATAATATAGATCAAGGATTTATTATCGATATTAGATATATATGATACACACCTGTGAAGAGTATAATTAAATTCTCTTGATTTCAACAGATTTAAGTATAAACAGAAATTTTAAAAACTAAAATTTCTCCACATAGCTTCACAATGAATTTAATCAAACAAGATTTTATTTAATCTTAGCAAATTCATTATTTAGAATAATAAATAATTTGGGAAAAGAAATTTTAGCAGAAAAATAAAAAACTTATTTTGTTGTGTTCTCGCAAGAATTAAAATATAAATATTTCAGAGAAAAAAATAAAAATGAGAAAGATTTACTTACGTGAAAGTTCAGGACCAAATCTGATATATGCAATGGATTTTTCAACGTCTCCATTGAAAGAAAAAATGGTGGAAAGGACTTCACGTTTGGTTAGGTCATATAATTGTGCAATATCCTATAAATAAAAATGGAAAAAAAAAATATGGTGATATGAACAGATCTATTTCTGGTATTTGGCAATTTTGAAATATTGATATTTTTTTTTTAAATCACCTCACCCCAAACAAGGTGGGAATGCCACTATTATGCAGGGAGTTACAGTGAGTGAAAGTGAGAGAAAAGATTGGGTATAAGAGGGTGTTGAGGAAAGCATAAAAGATGAATGGCGATTGACAGTGCATTTAAAATTTTTAAGGTTGTAGTTACCACGGGAGCAAGTAAACGTGAGGGAGTTCCACAGGCAGGAAATGCAAAAAAAGAAACTGTCGGAGTAGAAGTAGCAGTTACATTTAACTAGAGACCACCAAGAGATTGCTGGAAAAATGAGCATAGCATTATAAAAACGGCCTTAAACTTGACAAAAAAAATTTTTTATTGTCTAAATGTTTATGATGTTATCAAGAGGAAAGATCAAAGTATTTTTCTGATTATTTTTTTTTTTTTACATTTTTCAATCATTCCTAGCATGTCTAAAATTTTCGTTAAAAATCATTTTTTTTTACTCAGGAAAATTGTCACAAAATCGATTGTCAGCCATTTTTTTTTCAATTTCGTTAAACAAAAGTGATTTTTTTTCCATTTAAAATTCTGTCCAAAATCAATTATAATTATTTTTAGAAAATTAGAAATTATATAGTTTATTTAATATATTTTAAAACAAACATTACTTACTATCCGTGACGAAAAAATGTAGTTTAAAATAAGTGAAAGCCAGTCTTAACAGCGGTGACGATTGACATGTGTGATAAGTAATGATTTCATCATGTATTGACAGCTTATGTGTGGAAAAGTTATCATATGGAAGTACAGAAGTGACATGAATTAGCTTATTTACCTCGTTATTTTTAAGGAAAAGTTTCAGCACTCTAATTTTTTTTGGTTTGTTGGTACTTAGCTTTCCACCTTTACGTTTACGATGCTTTATGAAAAAATATAATACAACAAAAAATTTTTAAAATAAAACTGTTGAGAGTGAGATAAAATTTCATAAGAAAGGTACCTAATTAATTAGGTACCTTTCTTATGAAATTTTATCATAAGTGTACATAATATATTAAATTTTTATGTACATTTTACAGTATTACTTGTATTTCCACTCTTTTTACTAATTTTGATATTTCATTTATGGAAAAAGGACATAACTGAGATAATATAAAAATAAGACCATATAAATTACATAAGATAGGTATATAATACTTTGTAGGTACTCTTATCAATTGAAATATTACACATTTTTTTTCTCTTTTGTTAATTTTTCCTAAAATTTTTTTAATCCTAAATTATATGACAGTATTGAAAACAGCAGGAACAACGTTTATATGCCAATGTAAACCATGTGATGGTTTATTGTTTTCATTGTGTTTTTGGTCTTCCATAGATTTGAATTACAGCCGTTTTATGGACACATAAAATCATGTTATATTAGATTTTTTTATCTAGTTGGGGTCTGCTGATTGTAATCAGCTTTACAATTTATAATCTGTACGGATAAATCTACGTGATAACACCATCGACTAAACTGTAAACCATTTTCATTAATTTTAGAATATTTAACAATTTTAATGTAAAAATAATAAAATAATTTAAGAAATAACAAATAATTGTGGTAGAAACTTATTTTTCATCAAAAAAGTTTTTTGCTTTCACAGACAATATTATCAATATTCATAAAAGCAACTAAAAGTTTTAGAAATTAAATAATATCTTTGTTTTATTGAGTTTTGTATGTTACAATTCAGAGCTGATTTTAAGGTAAATCACTATAAGTGTGCACTTTTGAATTCCTAGAGTTTTTGTTAGTTAGGTGGGGCGGGGGTAATAAATATAAAAAAAAAATTTTCACCATGATTTAAAAAAAAAAAATAAACATATTTATAATAATTTCCATCATTTGTGAATAGTTTCTGAAAGTTTCATTAAAATCCGACTATTATTTTTATTTTTACAAGATTTTCAAAATTAATGTCTGTCATTAAAGAAAAAAAAAATGAACTAAAATTTTCTGTTATTTACTAGAACATCTGCTGATGAAGAGAAACAAAGTTTTTTAATCCAAAGTTTGAAAAAAAAAAAAAAAAAAAGACAGAAAAATTTTGAAAGATAATTAAAAATTACTTTGTTCTTGCCTCTTAATAGTAACATAAACATTTTGATGATAAAATTTTGTTTTCATCAAATTTATGCCGTTTTTATTATGCTATGCTCATCTTCCACCAATCTCACTAGTGCCTACATTTAACTATTTCAACAGTAAAATGGTGGGATCTAGGTGCCAATCTTGGTAGTATGCCTAAATTCATGTAGCCGGGGCACCAAGGGGGGGGGGAAAGCTCATCAGAACAGTTGCCATGAAAATATTTGTAGAAATCAGTGACAAAGTGACTGAAGTTGAGATGCCAAGTCAGGATCGATTATATTGCAGATCCTACTTTGGATTTTGTCAACAACCTCAAGATGAAAAATAACAAAAAATTCAACCAGTAGACATTTTGTAAACACTTCTTGCAAAACAATTTGTAACTAGTAAGTTCAATCCTCATTAAGTGCTCAATTAATCTGGCCTTGTGCCAGACTAAGCTTATGCATCCGAAGAGCAATATTTAGCAAACAGATCATGCAAAAATATTTGTATCTGCAGCAGGTTCCATAAAAGAAAAATAGCTAAAGTGCCTTCCAAAAGCTAAGCAAAGTAACAGGAAAAAGGAAATTTTCATTAGAAACAAAAAAAAGAGTACTCAACTGCTATATAATATCAATCCTTCTAAATGGCAGTGAATGCTAGACAATTTTCTCACCAGTGAAGAGAAAACTTGAAGCAACAGAAATGGGGTTCTACAAAAGGATTCTCAGAATGCTTATACTTAGAATAAGAAAGAGAAAATTTACAATTCTAAGATATATAATGAGGAAAGAAAGCTTGGAGAATTTGACACTCAAAGGATATATTGAAGACAAAAAGGAAAAAGTATCCTACCTAACAAGCTTGTGTAAATGCATAGAAGAACAAGCAGAGGGAGAGATAGTAAAAAGACAAACACTGCTAAAAGCTATGCAGGATAAGAAGATGCAGAGAGCCATGATTAGCCATGTCCTGAAGGTTGGTTGATTTTAACTGCACATCAACCTCTATAAATGATTTAATGCCAAAATCTAAATATTTTGAACACAATTTTATGGGTCCAATTCGAGATAGAATGTATTGCTGGTCATTTTGCTATAAATACGCATTGTTGGTAATTTTACTATAAAAATGTATTTTTATACTTTCATAGTGTTTAGAGGTTCACTATTTGCTCATAGCAGGGACCCTAACAGGTGTGACCACCTCGGGTCAAGGTGCAGCCCTTTCATGCACCTCAAAAAACTCCAATCCCAATTAGAGGACTTGCTGCTGGATGTCGTTTATCATCATACTCAGGACAATGTCTTGAAGGAGCACAGGAAATAGAAGTGGTGGTTTCCATCATGAGACAGGTAGCGGCAAGTAGATCCTTGGAGAGGATTGACAGGGGTCAGTTGTTGACACTGGACCTGGTTTGGAGTCATGAAGTCAAGGAGAAAAGTGAAAAAGTGTTTCATTATTCATCAGGTTTAATTAAATCCAATACCTGAATTTAAATTCCCGAATCTTGGCTAATTGAATCTGTTTTTAATATAGGGAAATCTGCTAAGATTTAGCATAATTGGTAAACCACTGCACCTGCCTGCTACCCACTGCTCAGCAGAGGTGTGGGTTTTGTTAGGTGAATGATTTTGGGAAAAAGATTCCCCAGCTAAAAGTACCCACCAGCTGAAATATGAAAGATTTTTGGAGGGCCATTTTAAAATCCAGAGACTAGGCCAGGAGGCCATGTGTTTTTTGAAAAATGTTTGTAAACAAAGAAAACCTTGTGAAAATGAAATTAATGAAATGATTTTGCTGGGCAATTATCTTGTCAAGAGAAGTCTATAAATAGCAGCCATTTTAAATTAAGTAGTTGGTGATTTAAAGAAAAATGCCAGCTGGTGTTTGATGCTAGTAGAAGAAAAAAATGGAATTGTTGATTCTGGATAATTTTACCAAACTAGCGTGAACTGGTGCAAAGCAGTTCTCTCCATTACTTTCTACCATCACTCAGTTAAGTACCATTACATGATACATGCTATGGTGATCATGTCTCTTTTGATTCATGACTGACTAGACAGAAGATTCTTCTATGGTAGGTTGCCATTTCTTTTTACATAATACTGGTTGCCACCCAAGGTTATAGGACTCAGTCTCCCTGCTATTTAATGCATACCTGGAGGGAGATGGATATTTGCGTGTATGTCAATGTAACAAACCTGACTGGAATTAAAACTTAGACCAGTGGTATAACTGTTAGAAAGTCAAACGGTTCCACCAAACCAACCAAATACACAAAAAAAATTATTTAAATTTGTAGTTTGTATAAAAGACAAATAACCTACCTACCTCTGTCAAAAATCATAGCTTTCATTGTTTTACTGTTGAACTAGCTAATTGTGGCTGTAAAATCTCTTCTAATAGTGTCTTTTCTTGCACTTCTCAACTGTGGGACTCTCTTCCAGTTTCTTTCTTCCCTACAATCTTTGTTCTTCAAAATTTAAATGCAACATCAATTACCATATACTGTCTTCCTGAATCCTGTTATTTTATTGTGCTATCTCCTCACTAAAGTCTTCACATTCTCTTTCACTCCCAGTAACCCCTTGCCACTTAGTGGCATTATCACCATCTTCTGCCTTCCTGAAACCTGTTCTTTTATTCTCATTTCTCCTCACTAAAGTCTTCACATTCTCTTTCACTCTCAGTAACCATTTGCATCTTAGTGGCATTATCGCCATCTTATGTTTTCCTGAATCCTGTTATTTTATCGTCCTCTGCCCTCATTAAAGTCATCTCATTCTCTTTCACTCTTACCCCTGGCGTCTTAGTGACATTAACACCTTGCTTGGGGTGAAATAATTAAAGAAAATAGAGCCTACAATCTTATGCCAGTTAATTTTGAACACCATAATCTTCTCAATAGCTGTCTTGCTATATAACCCATAGCCCAGAGGAGAAAAGATGGGTACATACCTTTCCCAAGGGTATTTGTACAAAAGAGATTGCAATAAATTCAACTGGAATTTGAACTAATCTCACTAATTTCTTGTTCCAATCCACTGTACTACCTGCATATCCATTAGGATAAGACAAAATGGTATTTAATTTTTTTTTTTTATATAAAATCTACTATTCCCACTTTGAACTTTGTCAGTTCAGGATTATTGATGTTTCATCTCAGTGAAAGACCTCTTCAGGATCAAGCTAACACACTTAAGGATGAGGAGGACCAGTGTCTTCAAACTTCATCAGGCCATCCTTGAGGTAATCTGCTGCCTGTTTCAGCCTCAAGGATGGCCTGAGCAGGGATAGTGTTACATTTCTGACCCTGTAAAAAATGTGGTTCTACAGAAAGATGCTGAGAATACTATTAAATGAACATATGAGCAATGACAACAAAAAGAACACATATACTTAACATCAGGAAGAGTCAGTTGAAATGTCTGGAGCACATAATGAGAAAATAAAGCTTGGAAAATTTGATACTGACAGGACAGACTGAAGGTAAGAGGGCTAGAGAAAATTAATGCATAATCTACCTGGCAATCTTGAGCAAATGGATGGTGGAGAGAGATATGGCAAAAAGATAAACGTTATTAAGAAATAAAAAGGACAGGAAATTGTGGAGATCCATGATTGCCAACGTCCTAAAGGAACATGGCACATAAAAGAAGTATCATGTCCTTATTGGGTGCTTAATTAATGTGGCCTTGTTCCAGAAATGTTTAATAATCTTGCAAACCAATTTCCTCACTTATTACCCAGCTCTGGAGACTTTGCATGGGTTTGAGTTATCCTGACAAAAAACTGATCACGTGTCATACATACTTCAGTAAGTTATATAAACTAAGAGTCTACCTTTGCAAAATTTAATCTGAGAATGGTTAGAATACCATAGTAAAGGCAAAAACACAAGATAAAGATAGTTAAAACAAAGTATTCACAACTCATCATAAAAGACGAGGATTATCTAAAAGATTTACAGAAATGTTCTTGTGAGATGAGAGACTTTAAAATGGGATCTTCACAGAGCAAAGAAAGGGAATTCACTCCAACACTGTAAATCATGACATGCAGTCCACTATAGATCATTGCCAGTCTCCCTCAGCAGCTGCAAGAAGCACATTGCTGATCACTTCAAGCAAATCTTTAAACACACACTGAACTCATGAATATACATCATCAATAGTATTACAAGAACTGCGTTCATGCATGTACACTTTTTCAATGGCCATTTTTACATTTTAAGCATACAAAGCATTGTGCTCATTTAGCTTCAGGTAATTCATTCCAACATAATCAACAAGAATTGATCCAGAATACATAAATTCTCCCAAATATACGATAGTCTTTTACTATGTCATCCATACAAGGGAGAAAAAGATTTTACAAATTTTCTTTTGAGGGGAATTATATATTAAAATTAATCTTATAACAAAATATGAACGCTAGTGAACCTATGCATTTTTATTTTTGCAATTGTAAACACATTGAGAAAATCAAAATCTTACTGAAATAATTGCTTCGTATTTACTTAGTTTCTCCTGGGCTTTTGCTGGGCTGACAACCTCTAGAAAGAAGAGTGAGAGAAAATAATTTTTTTATTAAATTTTAATAATAAAAATACAAGTATGTAAGAAAACACTGCATTTTGTAAGCTTGGTCAAGACTAAAAATTTATCTCAGGTACCAAGTAAATAGGGAGGGACATAACAAAGGGTGAAGTAGGGTGGAGAAATCAGAATATCAATATAAAGGTTTGTCTCACTAGATCAGTTATGATTGATGAGTAAGTTCAATCCTCACTGGGACCTCCATACTTTTGGCCTTGTGCCACAGCTAAGCTGCATTTTGACTTTGAAGAAATAAAACAAACTAAAGATAAAGTTCCTTCATTGTCATACAGTAAAATGCTTTAATAAAATCAAAAACATTTCAATGAACATTTGCCAATGTTATAATGTAATAACATTTTTTCCTTTCATAATTTAGCCAATTATTTCGCATTTTTGCCTATTTTAATCGCCATCATAACTTGCATATAGTGTATTTAATTATTCTATTTTTTTGATCATCGTTTTATATTGTTGGCATGTTGTTATTTTTCTTTTTATTTTATTTTTCATCAGTTTTGAGCTCAATATATGTCTTTCATTCATATTTAATTATTATCATTTTTTCTTTTAACGGTTATAAGCATGAAATAAATAGTAAGGTAGATCGTTCCCCATTCCTTTCATAATTTAGCTTATTTACACAAGTATTTCATAGTTTGTTGTATTTTGACTGACTTCATAATTTGTAGTGTTTAATTAGTCTATTTTAATGAACATTGTTTTGTATTTTATTCTTTGCATTATTTGTGTATAATTAAGACACAACATGCTTATGGAAACCAAAATAATTATTTGAAAACTTGAGAATATGTCCTTTAAAAAGTTAATTGATTTGTAATAATGTTAAGAATCAGTTTAAACGACATTTATAAAAATGTGACAGTAGGGGTGAGTTTTTTTTTCTCCCCCCGCCCCCGACAATTACTAATAGTTGACTTCAATAATTATTCAAATGATATAATGTTTAAAAGTAGTTTTAAGTTATAGAATTTTATAGCAGAAATTGACAAATCAAAACTGTAAATTTTTAAAGTAAGGCACCAAACCTTACTTGGGAAATCACATAGCGGGTTAAGTTTAAGAACGTTAAAATACCTCTTCGGTTATTCACTGAAGCAGCCGTCCACAGGAAAATAAAGAAAGAAAGAAAGAAAGAAAAGAACCCAGACCCTCCATGGATCATTTAAAATCAATATGCGCAGTGGATTGGTTGTTACAATCATACAACCGGGTGAGCAGAAAATGGGGTCTATTTTCGTCCAATTAAAAAGGTCAGAGTCTCTTGCTAGTGTTTCATTGCGGGGGGGATCAGGTAAGGGTCTCCCCTGAATGGGTCGGCTTTGGTGATGGGGTGTATGATGTTGAAAAACCTGAAACTTCCTGATGAACTTGGTTCATCAGGGAGTTTCAGGTTTTTTGGCAGAAAGAAAGTTCTTTAGAGTCCAAGAGTAATTTCATTAAAAAGCAAATACTTCCTTTTTTCTTTTGTTTCATAAAGCAATTAAAATGAATCTAAATCAAAAACACTTCAAGTGTAAAATAGTTTAGGACATAAAGAAAGGCAGATATGAGTTTGGTTCATATTTAATGTTATATATTATCTGCAGATGTATGTTTGGAAATTGTTTACTATACTGATTTGATCACATTTTTATTTTTATTGTTAAAGGTTTTAATCGACCCAAAGTCAGATAACATTTTAATATTAGTAATAAACTCATACATTTATTTTAATAGTTGTGTGGGAATTTTTGTTCATTTGAAATTTTCTCATGGCTTCCTGGACTATAAGCAAGAAGCTGACTATTCTTCAGCAGACAAGGGTAACTGGCAGACTTTTTGATTGAGAAAGAATGAAGAAATATTAAGAAAGGAAGGAATGAACAGGATATATTAAGAAAAACAGACGAGTGAAGAAATATGAAAGAAAGGTAGGAAAGAAAAAAAGAAAGAAAAAGAAATATTAAAAAATAAAATAGAAATGGAAAGAAAGAAAGAAAAATGAAAGATAAGGGAAATGTGAAAGAAAGATATGAAGAGAAAATACTAAAGAAAGAAAGAAAAGCGAAATATTAAGGAAGGAAAAAAGAAAGTGTAGTTTAAATAAGTCTGTATTGCTGCAACGTCACGTGTACAAATCAAAATACTGCTGGTTCAATTCACCGTCCTCGCTTTCTGAATACGTCACTATGTATAGGTGTTGTTTCTCTTTTCACTGCTCCAGCCCTCTTTTATCAGGCCAACATCGCAGTTGACCAACCAATCAGTGTTCTTCGCTTTTATTCTCAGTTACACAGGCAAATTGCCTCCTCCAGTTCGACCAATCAGCACACGACTTGCTATTGGTGGAAGCATGCCAAACTGTACAAAAAACCCTCATTACTGCACATACTGCTAGAATGGCTGGACGGGAGAGTAATGCCATTTTCACGGAACAAACTTGCCGATGTCACGTGCCGCACGTTAAGGTAAGACCCTTATTTTCCTATACACCAGATGCAAGCCACTCTGGCTCGCTTGCTTCTATGGGGCTGTTCACCACAGAAAGAAAAGATGAAGAAGAAATATTAAGACACAAAGAAAAATGAAAGAAAAAGGAACTGTGAATGGAAGATAGGAAGGAAGGAAGGAAGGGGAGATACTAAAAAAGAAAGAAAAGTAAAATATCAAGAAAGAAGAAGAAATATTAAGAAAGAATGAAAGAAAGAAATAAACATGGAAGAGTGAGGAAATATGAATGAAAGAAAGGATGTAAGAGAAATATTAAGAAAGAAAGAAAAAAAAAAAAGGAAAGACAGAGTGACAAATATCAAAGATAGAATAGACAGATATTAAGAGACAAGCTTGTTTAGACACTAAGGCAACAATCCAAAATTAACCCTTTCAGCCCTGACCACGTGTTAGGGAAAAATGACGTAATGCCCAGTCACCAGTTGTAACTATTTTTGAATCTACTGTGAAACATTACATACCAATTATTTGCAAATTTTGACCCAGAAACTCAGGCAGAATGGTAAAAATTGTTCAGGAATGCAGGACTCAAAGAGTTAATGGTCATACATAGAAATAAACAGATTTTCAGATATTAACTTTTTTATCATTCAATCTTAATTTAGGTCAGTCCGGCAGGCATTAAAAATGCATACATCTTTTGGGCTAATATGGTTAAAGAGATTTGTGACTACACAGAACTCAATTGAATTAATTACTGAATTAGCCAACCTGTGTTTTCATTTGGCCCTTCTTCAGGGACAGAATCTGTCACAAACTTTGCTGGATTCAGGTTCTTGTGAGATGAAGTCGGGGTGGTAGAACAGCCACCTTTTAGAAAAGAAATCATAATAAGGAAAGATTAAGGAACAACATCATCAAAAACATGATAAAGAACAAAGAATCAGAAAAGAAACATTTTCGGGTAACCAAAAAAGTTCCTCCTGACGTTTATATTTTGATGGACTTCCAAGAAAAAATATCTTTGAATAATGCGAGAGATTTAAACTTTGATTATAAAACAAAAGCAACATATTTTATTACTTCAAATGTTATTTTTAGTGGATACCCATATTTGAGTGGATTCTCCATGTTGGTTCCAATTTTGGAAGGAATGACTGCAAAAACATTCATCCCAACCTCCCTAAATTTATAGACAAAACATACAGATGCATGCTGGGAGATCTTCCTAGCCAATCAGATAGGCCACTTCTCGATCTTATACACCATTTTTTTGTTCTGGTCATAAAGTCAGAACACTGAGATCCCTTGTTTGTATCCCTTTTGTGTCTTAACACCAATCTTAGTTTGTGAACTTTTTGTCTTATTACTGCTGCTTTGCGTACTTTTGTCTTTGTAGCGGTTTCTGTGTGTATAAATGAAGAAATACATGAATCTTCAAACACAGCTCTACAAATTTCAATAATTCTTTATTCATTTGAGAATTATTTTTCTTTCGAATTGAAAGAAACGGATTACAAAGATTCTTTGCAAACAACTTCACACTAAATATTTTGTGTATCTTTTTTTTTTTACAGTACAACCGATGCATTAGTACAGCAAAAACAGAAAGCACCTACATGTGTTTGGATGTATGTGACATGGATTTACATTATTTTATCTGTGTGTATAGAAGTCAGTCGCATGAGGATGATGAATTGCATGACATAGTGGTATATAAAATATCTTTGAGAATAATGCATGTTTGTGATTCCTTTATTTCAGCTAGACTGCTCCGTCCATATATTAAGGTGTTATTATATTATGAATATAATAATGTTTAGAATGGGGAAATATAAACTGGAAATATTCTTTCTTGCATTATAACTATACATGTTACTTGCATTTTTATTATATATATATATATATATATATATATATATATATATAAACTATTTACATTATTTAGACTATTGTCCTCATCTTTGTCATCATATTTATCACTATGTTTCAGTCGTTGTACGCTTGAGCCTCCTTCAGGTGGTTGGAATCTCAAACTGAACTCTTTATTTTGCTCACTGGGGTAGACTGTTCTAGTTCCACATGCCATGCCTAATGGATGTCAGTTATCAGTTATCTCCTGTTAATCCCCCTCTCCAAGTTCTTACTCCGGACGATACAATGGAAATGGCAACAATATGGATGATCATGGCTTTGCACAACATCCTGTCCTTTGTAGCTTTTAGTCAGTTTTGTTTTATGTCTCCTAATCATTGTTCTGCAATCTATTTAAATAATCTCGTTATGTAGGTTATTCACTGCTTTTCCCTCATGAGTTCAAGATGTCCTGTCAGTGGCAAATTCTGCAAGCCTTCTTTCCTCATGTTCCATAGGAATTTCAACTGTCTCTTCCTGATTCTAAGTGTGCTTTTTGTTTCCATTTTCTCCAAAATTTTGATGTTGCTCACATGTTCAGTCAACGGTATTCTCAGCATCCTTCTGTAGAACAACATTTCTGTTGCCTAAGTAAATTAATAGGTAATGTCTTACAATCAGATAAGGTCAAAACCATTAGTTCCTGCTTGATCAGTAAGAAGTTAAGGCCTGATGAATCTAGTAAGCAATTATGTGGGTAATCATATAAGAATACCAGATACCCTAAGCAGTACTAAAAATAAGAACTAGAAGATACATCCCTAGGCATGTGCAGTGAAACAAGAATAGTCTAACCCCATAGATTGAATAAAGAGTCCAGTTTGAAATTCCCTGTAGGTTACTGGATCAACATACACCTGATGAAGGACAGAGGGCACAATGATTGAAACATTACGATAACAACAATAAAGATGAAGAAAATAGTGAGGGGTGAGAGAAATTAGGCCAATTAGACCCCAAATCAAGAAATCATCAGGGAGGGGGTGCTGGTGAGGTGATTTCTAATCACCCCCCACCATCAAAAATTCATTTGGGGGGGAGTTCCAATCACACTCAAAATCAATAAATCACTTACAAAGAGTGATTTCATATCACACCCCAAAATATTTGGGGTGAAAGATTCCAGAGCATGTCCAAAATATCTATATCCTTTGTGTTGTAATTACAATCTTAAAAAGAAGATATTTTATGAAAACATAATTATCCATTTTGAAAACCTGATCAGAGAAGATAAATGTTAAACAAAAGCATATCTGGGGGGGGGGGAGAAATAAAGGCGTGCTTACCTACTATGAAATGGAGAAAATTTACCTACCGAAAGATTTCTCTACTTTCTTTATATGTCTTCGATGTTGCAGTCGAGATCTTCTATCCTCTAAGATACTAACTGATTCATCTTGATCCATTTCTTCCTCTGAATGAGATACATTTTCCTGAAGAAAAAAAAAAAAAAAGTGCTGATAAAATCTTTAATATTTTTGACCTGCTCTCCATCACTTGATTTTTTTTTTATAATCATTTCACTCAAGCAAGACGCTGAAGCCACTCTGTGAAAGAAACTAAGACACCATTACTGAGGAGAAAAGACAATAAAAGAAAAAAAAACAGGATACAAGAAGAGACAGAAGACAAGAATTGATGTTGCTTTTAAGTTTTTCTAGTTGACAAGAAAGCAAGAAGCCAGAAGAAAACTCTCCAAGTAAGAAGTATGAGAGAATAAATCATTATTGTCCCAGGACAATAGTATAGTGCAGTGTTTCTCAACCTTTTTTTACTTCAGGACGCACTTGTAGAATAACTAAAACTGGTGTGCACTTTCAATTTTAATAAGGAAAAAATTAGTCATGAAATTTTAAAATAATGAAGAAGTTTCCTGAAATAAGCATTTATTTTTAAAACATTATATTTTTTTTAGACATGCTTGAGTGAAACATGTGCTTGATATGTCTTGGTAACTTTTTGAATGATAGGTTTTATATGTTATCCCTTGAGAAAAGCAAAAAAGAAAGGTTTATCCTCTCTTTATTAAAGATTAAGGAATTTAACATCCAGTTTAAAATATGAAATGGTAAAGACTTGACTTAAATAAAGAAGTCATGTGCTTGAGGTCTCTAGCTTTTTTTATAAATAACAATTTTTAAATATAAAAATCTATATAATAAATGTGAAAATGTCTGTGTGTGTATCACACTTTTTCAACTTTAATCCTAGAGGCAGTAGCACAACATATCATACCATTTTGGAATCACGCTGACTCCGTTTAGCAAATTAAAAACATTCCAGGATGGATCCAGACCTGTAATCCTGAAATTTTGTATTTCCAAGTTTTCATTTCTGCAATTATTTCAGCAAGTTTTTTACGTCGTTTTTTGTGACAATGATAACAATTTTTGTAACTTGGAAATAAATTTGGGAATAATCAAAATTAATTGCTAAATCCAGCAAAAGTCACCCATGAAATAAAAATAATTGTCTGTATAGAAAATAAGGACCTATGTACATGAAATTAAATTCAAATGTCAGCAGAAGAATTATCATTGAACTCTTAAAAGGTAAGCTTAAATATTAATGCATAAGCTTAAATGCAGCGAGCAATTTTGAGTTCTGTAGTTTATTGTTGCCTATTGCATACAGTAGCAGTATGCCTTGTAAAAAGAAATCTCTGCCAACAGAGGACCAGACTGCAATCAAAAGAGCCAAGGCTGCAGTGAGGCAAAAAAAGACCCCCCCATGTAAATGAAAACCCAGATCAAATGGCAGACAGGAGAGCTTCCAATGCTGAGAATATGCAAAGACTTAATGACTCAAACTCCGAAGGCCCAATCAAGAGCCCTCCACAGGAGCTTTCTTAAATGATGCCCTGCTTTTAAGCTAGTAATTCACAAATTGCTCTTCACTCTAATTGAGATAAATCTGGTTACCTTTCAGGGCAAATCTGTGTGCCCGAGCACACTGGTTGAGAAATGCTGTCCTAGTGGATTAAAGTGTTGGTTTCATGAATTTGGGGACGAGTGATTGTAAGTTCAATCCCTTGGACTTAGTGGAAACAGGTGAGGAATAACTGAGCAGTACTAAAAATAAAAACTAAACAATATCCCTCAATATGGACAGTAGAACAAGAACAGTCTACCCACGTAGATTAAATAATGGGTTCGGTTTGAAATTCCCAGATTAATATACATTTGAGGAAGGTTGAAGGTCACAACGGCTGAAACATAGTAACAACAACAAAGATGAGGACAGTAGTCCAAATGTAAATAGTGTAAATAATGATAACTTCCGATCTGAGAAATTCAGGAAGAAAATTGGTTTAATTTGAGGCCACAAATATATGCTTGTTATGAGAAGCAAAAATTGCCTATATCTCACAGACTGTGTTGCATTAGATTTCCTCACAAAACATAATGGTAAGGCAGAGTTCAAATCTATGATATTAGATGGCATTCCTTCAAAATGAGTTTTTTTTATGGTCTATTCAAAATCGGCACATTAAAGATTTTTGCAGATAACAGTAATCCATGATGCAATCAGAATTAACAAAGTAATTATAAAATAAAATTTATTTTTAAATGTCACTGTTTATGAGTATGAATGATCTCTTGTAATAGAACAATCTAGAAGAAACAATAAAAGCGTTAGTAAAACAAAATATAAACCAGATGAAGATCATATTGGCCAAAATTTAGTGAAGAAAAACAACAAAGACGAGGATACTCATTCACTGAATTCTTGGAATACCAACAATGACGCATCTCTGAAATATGTAGATCAATAAGAATTGGTAAGGAAAATAAGGGAGAATTTATTTCCAAAGTAAAAGGATTTTTCAAAATGGAGAGTGAAATAATTATTTGGGTCTTGGTTGATATTTATTTTGGACAAAGTCCAAGGGAAGTTAAGGAGTTCATTTACTCAAGTATTTTTCATTTTTCACACATATTTGGTCTATCTTTATCATTGTTGTTTTCATCACATTTTAACAGATAAGTTCTTCATTACATATTAACAGGTAAGTTCTTTGGCCTTTTTAGCATTATCTGAACTATGAAGATGAAGTATTTTTTTCACACATTTTTTGGTTTAGTAACCTTCACATTTTGGTTGATATTTTCTTCGGCCTTCCTAGATTAATTTTTTTTCACTTTTTAAACATTTTTGAATCTGGTATCTTCATCTTTAGTGTTTTTGTCAGATTTTAAATGATGACTTTTTCAGCCTTCCTTAGAATTACCTGAACTGTGAAGCTGAAGTATTTTTTCACACATTTTATGGTTTAATATCCTCCATATTTCAGCTGATATGTTCTTCAGCCTTCTTAGATTTCTTCTTTTTTTTTTTTCTTTTTTTTTTTTCACTTTTCACATATTTTGGGGTCTTGTATACTTATCTTTTTTTTGGTTTCATCACATTTTGGCTGATATTTTCTTTATCTTTCTTCATTGTCTGAACTTTTAAGCTGAAGTATTTTTTTTGTTTCCATATATTTTTTTTATCTAGTATCCTCTTCTTTGTTGGTTTTAATAAGATTTTGCTGACACAACATTACTCAACAACCAAGTCAAAGTTTTGTTTTTTGTTTTTTTTTCACATATTTTTTTAGTGTAGTATTCTCATCTTTGTTGTTATTTATCAGGCATTTTAGCTTCAGAAGTCAATTTGTACACTGTCATTGCACAGGATCATAAAACCAAATATCTATTTTTTTACGCAAGACAACTTTCAGATGAAACTGGTAAAAAATTCTCATTGATCTGAAAGATTACTGATAAGGGTGGCCATTATGGCAACTGTTGGATACCACGTAAACTCAGGGAGGGACAAAGGACAAAGGCCACATCATTAGTTCAAAATAAAAAATTTTTTACAAGCTTAGATTTCATTTTTGCTTCTTTTTATCACTGTACTAAGTTTATTTTTACGTTAGAAATTGGAAATAAATTATCTACATAATTATCTATCTGAATTCATATCCTTTATCCTTCTGAACTGTGAGATATGGACAACACTTTACCAATTAGGCTACAGAAACTATCAACTGTCTTTCATATTTAGTAATGAGATGAAGTAAAAATCATATAATGAAGAATGCAGCTATACCTGTCAGCTGATGACTTTCATGTTTTTTGTGGTTTGTTTATAAACACCTCTATGGGTCATTTAATGCCAAAATTTAATTTTCTTGGGGGCATTAGTAATTTCTTTTACAAAAATGTATTGTTGGTAATATTTTTCTTGTCAAAAATATATTGCTGGAATTTTTACTATTTGCCCATAGCTGGGACCTTAACAGGTGCAGATCAGGATAGACCTGGGGACAACAGTAATTAAGTAGTGGTTCCACACTCCTCAAAAGCTCCCGATCAGAGACCTTGCTGTTAGATGTAGTTTATTGCCATATCCAGGACGCATGACTTTCATTGCTTAACTGGTAAGGTGCTACCCCAGCTAGACAGATTCCCTGGGATACAAGGTGTAAGTTCAAGTATCATTGGAGGCTTACACTTTATTTCTAATCCATGCTGTTGATTCTCAGATGTAAAACCAATTTGAGGATAGCAATGATAAGCAAGAGAAATAAGATTCAAGAAAAACTGTCCATAAAACTAATAATAATAAGAATCCCATATGAAAGACATTGTTATGTTGCAGCTCAAACCAGACCAGACACCAGGTTTGTTTAAATGGTGCAATTTCTTCCAGTCAAATGCATGCAGCTTAAAAATTACCCTTCTAAACCAAACCCACAAGTGGGTAAGGTGGGTGGAGTGCATAGTTCACTGGCTGTCTGCCATGTCTGTTCTGGGAGGTTCGCTTTGTTCCTTTTCTTGGCCTTTTTCACAGGATGGTCAGTTTTATATGTAACAATTTTCTTTGTCTTGTCATCTTTGTCTAAAAATTTTTTTTATCTTCCTTCCATGACTTTCTCTCTGTCTGAGCCTCTTGCTCAGTACTTTGAAGTTGACTTTATTTACCGATAATCATTGGTTAAAAGTCAATGTTCCGAATCCATTTTTGGCGACAGGTTTAGCTGTTTTCACTTTAATAAGGCCTCATATAACTATAATAAGCATCAGCAAAATACAAAGTAAAGAAAATTATAGAAAAATGAAATTTTCAATTCTAAAGGAATTTATTTAGCACTTCTCATTCGTATAGGCATGTGGCACATCATACAAAGTCTGGGTCTCAGATATATGTTTTGAGATGAGTTATAGGTGAAGCAGGCTAATGGGTGTCTTCCTGTCTGTTTACTGAGGCCGGCTTCATTTCTCTGTGTGTGCCTTTTCGAGAGATTGTCAGAATTGAGGCAAAAATGAAACCAAAGTAAAAATACTTTGGTTTCATTTTTGCCTTTAGAATGATTCAATTAAAGAATCATTGCAGCTCAGATCAGATACCAGATTCGTTGAAAGGGTTCAGTTTCTTCCAGTCAAACGCATGTGGCTTAAACATTACACTTCTAAACATAACCCACAAGCGGGTGGAGGTACACAAATCATTGACTGTTTATCATGTCTGTTATGTGATTCCCGCAAAGTTTCTTCTTTTTTCCTTTTTGCCAGATGGTCAGTTTTATAGATAACAATTTTTTGCCTTGACACCTTCATCTAAAAACGTATTTTATCTTCCTTCCCTGACTTTCTCTCTGTCTGAGCCTCTTGCTCTGTACTTTGAAGTTGACATCACTTACTGATAATCATCGGTCGAAACTCAAAGTTCCGAATCCATTTTTGGCAACAGGTACAGCTGTTTTCACCTTAACAAGGCCTCAGCTGACTCATATAACTACAATGAGCATCAGTGACCTATAAAGTAAAAAGAATTATAGAAAAATGAAATTTCCAATTCTAAAGGAATTTATTTAGCACTTTTCATTCGTATAGGCAAGTGGCACATCATACAAAGTCTGGGTCTCAGATATATGTTTTGAGATGAGTTATAGGTGAAGCAGGCTAATGGGTATCTTCCTGTTCGTTTACTGAGGCCGGCTTCATTTCTCTGTGTGTGCCTTTTCGAGAGATTGTCAGAATTGTTTTTATTTTGGTTTCACTTTTGCCTTTAGAATGATTTAGTTAAGGCCAGACACCATGTTTGTTGAAAGGGTGTAGTTTCTTCCAACAAATGCACGTGGCTTAAAAATTACACTTCTAAACCTAACCCACAAGTGGGTGAGTGGGCAGGTACACAATTCATTGGCTGTCTCCCCTGTCTGTTCTGTGAAGCCTGCTTTGTTGCTTCTCTTTGCCTTTTTGCAGGATGGTCAGTTTTATAGATAACAATTTTCTTTGTCTTGTCATCTTCATCTAAAAAACATATTTCATCTTCCTTCCGTGACTTTCTCTCTGTCTGAGCCTCTTGCTCTGTACTTTGAAGTTGACTTCACTTGCTGTTGAGCAGTGGTCGAAAGTAAATGTTCTGGATTCATTTTTGCAACAGATCCCACTATTTAAAAATTTAACAAGACCTCAGCTGACTCAGATTGCTACAACATTTTATGAATCATGAGATCCGCTTATTTCTTGGTGTAAAGAAACAGCAAAAATGAATGAAGAAATAATGTTTTCATTGAAGAAATAGAATTTTTTTTTTACTTTGGTTTCACTTTTGCCTTTAGGATAATTCAGTTAAATAATTGCAAATGTATTTTCTTTGAGAAAAAGACATACACAAAAAAAAAAAAAAGAAAAAAAAAGAAGACCATCTTTAGCAAAAGGTAGAAACAGAAGACACAAACCTCACTTGCTGTACTGGCCTTTTCGGACTGTGAAGAGCTCTTGCCGGATCTGGAAGATTTTTTGCTTGAGGTTTTTCTTTTTTGAGCAATTCCCATCAAATATTGATCATAATCAGATAACTCTGACTGCTCACTACTGCTGTCTCTTCTGGAAGTCTCTTGAGCTGACTTGGATGGAGAGGGGGCTGGAGAAACAGCAGAACCAATATCATTGTCACCTGAAACATTTCTTTCTGAAAAGAAATATGAAAAAAAGATATATATATATATATATATATATATATATATATATGTGTGTGTGTGTGTTAGTTGGTAAATATTGAATGATTTAATGCATTTCTTGGATCATATACCACCCGGTCACTCAGCACCATTTCTGGGGAGGAGTATTACCAACAGGGTTCCCACAGATCTGTGTACAAAAATTCAAGGACTATGTTAAGAAGCTTCAAGAATTGAAACTGTTGCGTGCATACACACACACACAATTTGAATGGTAAGCAATTTCAAAAACATAAACTTTGTGAATTTATCTTTTAATAGTTTGACAGATGAGATGTTCAAAGAAAAGCAACAGCTGGTTCAAATAATTCATGTCACATGGATCAGTTAAAAGCAGTGAAGAAATCAAAGTGTTAAAGGCTAAAACACAACCAAATGTAGACCTGGTTATATTACACATTTTGTGCAGTATTCTACAGTTTGGAGTTCTACACCACTTGAAAATTTTGAATTACACTTTAATTCTTACTGCTACACATTTTGGCTATCAAGACGACTCATGATTTGTGAATGTTACAAAAATTCTTGATTGCTACACATTTTCTGTGAAGTATAATAGTTTTAATGACCAATACTACAAACAGAGATTTTCACAAAAAGACTGTACATTTTAGCTACCCTATTACTCATGGCTTTCGTTGCACATGGCACAGGACACAATGATGTTAACATTTTTTCAGTTCATCTAGTTTAGCATACAGCTCCTCATCCAATTTTGAGATCTCTATGGATTTGTCATTTGCAGATCTTCGCATGGTATTGAATTTTGCGATAAGTGTGAAGTTTTCCACATAGCTACCAGCTGACTTGAGCAAATCTTATGTGTAACGTCCAAGCTTATGTTTTTGGCCTTGAGTTCTTTAATTTCCATAATCATGGATTTCCATTTTTGTCCAGCTGCTTCTTCCTGCCATTTTTTTCTATCAGCCTCAAGGTATTGGTTGTATGTCGTTCTGGCATTGGGAGCACTGCAGAGAAAAGCCTCAGTCATGAGAACATTCCCAACACCCCCAATTATGGCCAAAAGTCCGTGATAATGTACTGCTGTACCAGCAATCTTTCCAGTTTTTGAAATTGTTGATAGACAAAGAAGAGTAGAATAAAATCAGAAGTGTTTTGAGCCACCCCGTACACATTTTTTAAAAGTTTTGTTATAAATTGAAATGCAGGAAATCATATAAGATTTTGAATAAAACTTGTTTGAAGGAACAAGTGCACACACATTGTGCCAATATTGTTTCATGATTGAATGCAATATTCAGGCCTGAAGATTGTATTCAATCATGAAACAGACTGTATAGTGCTGACCTCAGTGTTCACTCTTATATTCAAACATGCTCTGTCCCTGATATTGAGCACTTTTACCCATTAATATAGAATACCTCAGTTATCAGTTATCTCCTGTTAATTCCCCTCTCCAAGTTCTCCACCACCTTAAACAGGTATTGAACTCACACTCTGGGTCCTGTCATCGGATCTAACTAACGCCTTTATCCACCGTGCCATGTGTCCTTGAGGACATCTGTGCATGAATTTCTGGGTATTATACACATGTGGATAAAGGCATTAGTTAGATCCAGTGACAGGACCCAGTCTGAGTTCAATACCTGGTTAAGGCTGTGGAGAACTTGGAAAGGGAAATTAACAGGAGATAACTGATAACTGACATCCGTTAGACATGGCACATTGAACTAGAACAGTCTACCACAGTGAGCGAAATAAAGTGTTCAGTTCGACATTCCAACCACCTGAAGAAGGCTGGAGTGTAGAATGGTCGAAACGTTGTAATAAATATGGCAACAAAGATCAAGACAATAGTCCGAATAATGTAAATAGTGTACATAATACCTCATCTCAGAAATATAGACAGATACTAATTCATTCATGCTTTGAATATTGCTGCCACATATTGTCCTGTGTTCCTACTGTATATTTAGAGCTCCTTGATAAAATTCAAAGAAGAATCAGCAATATTATTAGTCCTGACCTTGCTCCTCGGCTTTAGTCACTTTCCCACTGCTGTAATGTAGCTTCCCTGTGCCTTTTCTATAAACACTTTCATGGTAATTGTTTGGCTGAACTCTTTGCTATGATACTTAGTGTTATGGTCCGGTTCCTTGTAGCACGGTGATAGTCCAAGGCAGAAGCAATAAAGAAGAACTCGAACACATATATGGAATAACACAGATATATTACAAACAGGAATATATACAGAGAAGTAGAAAGTGTTAGTATGAGCAATCAGGTTTATTAGAGAGAACAATGTAGTCTTGACCAGTATCACTATTCCAATGTCTTGTAGTAATTGTCTGAACGCGACTCTGTTTTGGACTGCCTCTGACTTGACTGACTGACTCGCTCGCTTTGACTGACTGACAGACTCCTGACAGACCTCACTCCAGACTTCAAACTGAACTCCCTGCTTCCTCTTGAGGCACAGTATTTATTACGTATGGAATAGTCCATTATGTTATTATGGGTAAGGTCCCATAACACTTAGACTTTATGAATTTAAGAGCAGTATTAGATTGGCAGCAAGGTTTCATCAATTTACAGTTGAATTGGCTCGATGTAACCCTAAGTTCTATGTTAACAGTTTCTTTTCTTACACTTCTCACTTGTGGAACTCTCTTCCAGCTTTGTTCTTTCTAGCTAACTTTGATCTTCAAAAATTTAAATACAATGTTAATCATTAGTTTTCTATTGTTCACGATCCTTAATAAAGTGTGTCTTTCTTTTTATTTTTTTTACACTCAATAACCCATTGTCTTTGTAGCTTTACTGTCTAGCATGAGGTGAAAAAAAAAATTTTGTTTCAAGGAATCTTAGAATTCCCCAAGATAGAAGAAATAAACAAACATAGTAGCAATTAGGAGACATAGGAGAAAAAACAGTAAAAGTTTTTAAAAAAAAAAAGTGTGTGAAGTGACAAGGTCTTGTCACTTTACTGTTGAATTGACGCAACCACATGTTTTATATTAACAGTTTCTTCTCTCGCTAGACGAAGCTAGTTACATTCTATCATTGCCGATCTGACTCTGAACTACCATCAATCAGGATGAACGGACATCCTCCTGGGGAGGTACCATGCTTTAAAAGACAATTGGGCCACAAGCTCACACCTGACCTCAAGTGGAACTCGTACATACAATTCCTAAGGATGCAGGTAAAATGGTCAGTTCCCTGAACTGACCCAGTAAGTACTTGACTTTTACTGCTATCTTCTAGCTTTACAAGAGCAAGATCAGGCCAAAAATGGAGTACTGTTGTCATATCTGGGCCGGAGATGCCCAGACCTCACTCTCCAGTCTTGATAGAATTTAAAAGCATCTTCAAGCTCTTGTGGGTGATGAATTATTATCCACCCTCCAACCTCACTCCCACAGGTGGGATGTGACAAACCACTTGTTGTTTTATCGCTACTTTTGCGGAGAGTGCTCGGACAAACTACATTCCCTGGTCCCACCAAGTCAAACCTTCACAACAATGACACACTATACCACTCACATAGTAGCAACACCCATATTCCCTCTGTATTCCATCAGAAGGAAGTTTTACTTGAAGAGCTTCTTTCTGCAAACCACTGCTCTGTGGCACCCAACAGGATGTAGCCTTCTACCTCAAGTGGCCTCCAGGCATTGTAAAGGGTGAACCTTACTGTAGACAAAAAAACAAAAAAAAAAAAGAAAACTTGTGGAACTCTCTTACAGTTCTGTGCTTTCCAGCCATCTTTGAAAATTTACATACAATGCCAATTGCTATCTACTGTGTTCTTGATTAGTCTTCTATTGTTCTCGCTCCTTAATAATGTTTCTCTTTCTTCTTATTCTTTCACATTCAGTAACCCCTCGTGCCTTAGTGGCTTTACTGCCTTGCATGGGGTGAGATGATAAAATCTTACCTGCTTCCTTATCAGATTCAGATTCAGAGCTACTACTGAACCTTAGGGATTGTCTATAGCTGTTCCGTTTTCTCCTGGAAACAGGTGAGTCCATGTAAGGAAGTGTCGATTCACTGTTATCAGCCTCATTAGCATGTGTTGCTGCTTCTTTTGTCACGTTTTTCTCCTTAGCAGTTTTCTTTTCGTCATTTCTTTGAATTCGAGGCGATGAACGCAATCTAGGACTTTGTTTTCTCCACTTGTCAAACATGGAACAAGGTGTAAAATCAGTTTTGGCATTTTCCTTATCCGGATTTTTATTTAGCCTCCCTGGGAAGAGACAATTCAATTTTTCAACCCAGTGTTTAGGGATATCATATTGATGAAGATTTGGAATCACTGACTTGAGGAAACGGCACTTCATCGACTGTTTTGAATGACTTGTAATCTGAAGACATAATAGGTAAAAAGCAATGTATGTCATGAAATATTCAATCATTTAAAATAAGAATATACAATGCATATACACAACCCCCTCTCTATATATATCTTACTTATAAAATGCAGATTGTGTGTGTGTGTATCTGTACGTTTATATATTGGATCGGATTTCCTACATTTTTCAACCGATTTCAACAAAACTTCACAGGACTGCATAAAATTACCTTGCGGTAGTTCTGACAGCACCAAAAATTGCAAAAACACAATTGTTTTTGCATGAAATCAATTTGAAAACATGATAAAACACTATTCTGTCGCCAGAATGAAAGGGGGACAACTCATATCAAGTTGTACTTATTATAGAACCCAGGTTGTTTGTGTGTGTTCGTTTATATATGGGATCGAATTTCCTACATTTTTCAACCGATTTCAACAAAACTTCACTTTTTTTTGGCAGGTAGTGTTTCTTATTGTCTTGCACACTTTTTTCTTTATTTTTACATTCAGAATGCTTTAAAAATTCCATTTATAAGACAATTGTTTATAATAAAATTCTATTCAATCAATAGATACATAACGATTGAAAACAATGTTTTTGTTTGAGTTTGGGTTTGACCAATTCATAAAAAAAAATAACAAAAAAACAAAAAAAAAATAATTAAGACGTGTGTCCCTCAACCTTAAACAATAATCTTTGTCAATTTTATTTTTCAGTCTTCATGATGGTCGATACTTGATCTATTTCTTACTGTTACATCCCCGGGCAACGCCGGGCTCTACTGCTAGTATATATATATAGATACACAGGTTGGCACAGATAAACTGCAGTAGTTGGGGTTTCAAATTTCTGTCTGCAGTTTAGATCAAAAGTGAGCTGCGTTGTCAGGATTGCCAACTTAGACCACCAAAACAAAGCTTGTCAAGTCCATGGAGTTATCTGCGAAAATGGGTAACACAGTTGCTAAGCATGCAAAATGCGTATTCAATACTAAGAGTTGAATATTGGTAGTTTTGAAAAAACATTTATTAAAAATATCCTTTAATTCCACATAAAAATCTGCACCAATGTGAATAAATTTGAAGGATGACAGCCTAAAATGATTCCAATTATAAAAGCTCCATGTCAATAGAGCTTTCATCAATGACAGCAAAAGATGGCAAAAATCTTGTACGCACGAGATTTTAACATTTTAACAAGAAAAACTAAAATTAATCTTTTTTTATAGTTTTATTAAGATTTTGAATAAAAACATTATAATACATTTTATTACAATGTATTAATAAAAATAATATAACAATACAATGTAGTAACATTTACGTAGAATGTAATGATACAATACAAATTTCATGAAATAAATATGAAACAACATTTATAATAAATTTACATGTATGTAATGAAAAATAAAAACAAAGTTCATAATAACACTTGACCTGATAGTTAGAATAGCAAATTTCTTTTTAGAAAGTGCTAGTATAGGATAGATTTGGGTTGGCTACGCGTGTAGGTTTAGTTAAAGATTTAATATCGCTATGGGATTAGTATTTGGTATGTAAAACATGGGCTTAAACAATGCAATAAAGATACCTGCTCACCTTTATATTATGAATTCCGGAAGTAGTAAATCTAAATCGGATGAAGTAAAAAGACAACGCTATATAGTAGATGAATGTGAAAAGCCCTGTTTTCATTGGCTGACTGACATATGTCAATAAGAATGGTCGAAGTCCTGCATTGCTCGTTGTTATGATTATTGTTTTTGCAATGTTGCGGTGTGTAGCATGACGCTTTCAAGGAGGCTGCCTGACTCGTCTAGAATCAGGTTGTGGTTGCTGTTCGAGCCGATATGATGAAAAACCTGAAATCGGCAATAAGAACAGTGCATTACTGAAGACCACCCTTGATGCATCTAAAATGTATTATTTAACTAAAAAAATAACTATTTAAGAAAGTCAGTAATGGAAAGTTGCTGCTGCTTCTTGTTTTCTCTTTTCTTGGCATCTCTAAGCATAGTCTGTACATATAAAACCTTTACTGAATCACCAATACTTTCATAAAATTCCAGGCTGTACTACAGATATTCTAAAAACTTCACTATTGACTTGGGTCGACTGATATCTGGCTCTACCTCTTTTACTTCTTCTTTATCTTGTTCTTCTGCCAGCAGAGACCCAGCAATGAGGACATTGTCATCAATAGTCAACCAAGCTGACAGGATTTCACTAACTGGTACAGTTTCCATCACCAACTTGTGAAGCTGGCCTTCAGCTACCTTCACTTCTTTGCCTGTAAAACCTTGAAATTCACACTCTGGGCTGACAGGGTCTTCTTCATTTACTTCTGTTAATCCCAGTGCCTTATCCCAACACCTAATGACAAACCCCTGACTGACAACTTTTCAAGCTGCATCACAAAGATACATAACATATTTAATGTTCAGGTTCTTCAGATACTCTGGAGCTGTGGGGGTCTTCCACAACCAGTGCCTTTATCAACTCACGTCTATAGTTGGACTTGAATGTGGAGATGATCCACTGGTCAAGTGGCTGTAGCTTTGATGTTGTATTCTTTGGCAGATAGTAAAGAAAGATCTTCCTGTCTTTGGATCTTAGGCTCTCAGCAGGTGTGTGCGCTGGGCAGTTACATAACAGCAGACAGGCTCGCTCTTCTAACCCCAAACTTCTCAGATGCTGGAACAAAGTCTTGTTCAAACCAGTCTTCAAAAATGACCGATGTCATCCAGGCATTTTTGTTGTTGCTGAAGAGTACTGGGAACTGCTTCAAATTCACATGATGAAAACATCTTGGAGATCAAAACTTACCGATGCAGAGAGGCTTTAACTTGTTGCTTCCTGCCATGTTGCCACAGAAAAGTATCTGTCAATATTTCTGCGATGAGATATTATGTACACTATTTACATTATCTGGACTATTGTCCTCATCTTTGTTGCCATATTTATCACAATGTTTCGGCCATTGTATGCTCAGGCCTTCTTCAGGTGGTTGGAATGTCGAACTGAACCTTTTATTTCACTTGCTGAAGTAGACTGTTCTAGTTCCACGTGCCATGTCTAATGGATGTCAGTTATCAGTTATCTCCTGTTAATTTACCTCTCCAAGTTCTCCAATGCCTTAACCAGGTATTGAACTCACACTGTCACTAGATCTAACCAATGCCTTTATCCACTGTGCCATGTGTTTGTGTGTTGATTTTATGCTTTATTTATTTGGAATGTAAGGTGTAATTAGTTGATTAAGAACTTTGGTTAGTTGGTAAACAGGGGTGGGGATTTTGGATATGATAGGTCGGAGGGGGAAGTTAGGTTTATGTATTTTTACAGATTCATACATATATCCTGGTTTATAGTCTCCAACTATTTTTGGAAGCTTTAAGCTATCCAGTCCTGCATTATTAGCTGTGATGAGTTTGGTGATTTTTGATTTTAATTGGTTAATCTTACTTTTGCCAACTTTTTTAATTCTGGTATTATCATCCAGATTTGGTGCATTTCTGAATAATAGTTTTATTTAATAGGAAGAAGATATTGTGCTTATCTGTTGTTTTTTTTTTTTAACTATTATATTGTTGCGGTTACATAGTTCTTTAGCTGCAGTTCTTTGTTGTTTTAATAGAAGACTGGATGTGTTTTTTAACCTCTGTCTTGCCTATCTTTCACCGCCTCAGCCTTGAGTAGGTTCTGGATTTCTGTTTTTGTATTTATCAGTTTCTGCTCTTCAAGATTCTGTATGTTTTGATACAGCATTTCTATTTCAGTTTTTTTATCCAGTCCACTATATTTTTTATAGAAGTGACAACTGGGTCTGAGACTGATTAAATCTTTTTGATGGTTTGTTTGTTCATAGTTGGAAATGTTTATAAACTTCTCATCATTATTAGGAAAATGTATAGTTCCTTTGTACAATGTATTAATTTTTTTTTTTTTTTTTTATGTACAATCGCTGTTGTATTTTAGACTTGTTAATAATTTCTGTAAGTCTATATAGGATTTCTTTGAGTTGTTCAGAACTAGTAATTGGTTTTAGTTTGTTGTGGATTTCTTGTGCTCTTTTATTGAGAATTTTTACCTTGTCTTCTGCTATCTCAATTTACCTTCTCCTAAGGTTACGTTTGAATTTCAAACTGTTGATGCTGTGAAGAGCTGCTGGATCATGTAGTTTAAAATTTGTGTATTTAGGCAGCATATTTTCATTCAAACAGGTTAAATATTTTAGACATACTATGTCTCTTTATTTTTGTTTTAACCCTTTCAAGTCCACAAATCAACTTTTTGGTAGCCATATAAAATTGATTAAGAAAAATATCAAAATTTTCTTTCAAATAATTCACACACTGAAAAAACTCATATCAGATTTATGAGAACATCTGTTATTTCTTTCTAATTTTGGAAAAATGACAAAAAAAATGGAAGGGAAGCAAGGAAAAAGAATGAAATCATTAAAAAGAGATATTAATTTAGTCAATGAACTTTTATTGAACATACAATGGCTTAACTGATGCTTGCAGATATCTATTAAACAGTTTGGAAACTGAATACAAAGTACTGGAGGTACATATTTTATAACAGTTTAAATTATTGAAAAATTTAAATATTGAAAAAAAAAAAACAAAAAAAAACAAAACAAAAAAACTAAAAACTTCTTAAATTAAATGTTGAAGTCAAAGAATACAACTTTGATCCAAGCCATAATTGTTCAAAATCTGGACATTTGCTGGTTGAGATGAGATGGCAATCATCTGATAATTTACCAGAACTTAAAACTAGGATCCCTAAAGTCATTACAATGTCACTTTTATATATAGCAAGTTATGTTACAAGAAAAAATTGTCCCACTAAAGTGGAAATATTTAATAATATTGGTTTTTATTTTCAAAAATAAGATCATTTTTGAAAGAAATAGATTATGATAATTTAAAAATTCCACTGGATACCAGATATTTTTTATTTTCAATTTTCCCTTTTTACGTATATTTAATTGGTTAACTCCTGTTAATTAATTTTGTGTTCTTGTTAATGTAAATTGATTTTAATTCTTAAAACTATGTGTACTGGTAATATCTATTATCATATCATAGCAAAATAAGTATTTTCTTCATTTTCTGTAAAATGAATTGTACATGTAACAAAATCCACAGTACATTTTCTAAAGATTACCAAACTATTGTTTCTCTGAAATTCACATCTTTTGTAAAGTATTTTCTAACTTTTTTTGATACACGATTTTGTAAAATGGCTGAAATTACTTCCTGATTATTTTATACAATTATATTTTCTGTAATAAATTAATATAAACAAATTAACTCATTATTTTTACAATATTATCTAAAAAATTCTAATTTAAGCTGAATTAAATGATTTTAGTGCATTTAGTTATTTTATTGTATTTTTGTTCTTTCTTTGTACATTTTCATTTATGGAAATAAGTCAATAATTGTAAGATGAATCCTAATATTATATAAAGTTGTTAATTAACTAATTACTGGGCATTACTAACAAGTTCCTTGCTAAAAATGTTCTCAGTAATTGTCAGTTAGGTAGTAATTTAAGCTTCCACATGTCCAAACCCAGTTGTATTTGCGAAGCCTGGTATATTGATCACCTTGATTAAAATAAAAATAAACAGACATAGTATGTCTAAATTATTTAACCAATTAACTAAATTATTTGAATATATATATATATATATATATATATATATATATATATATATATATATATATATATAAAAGTATAGGATTGGTGTATATGGAATAAACTCCAATAACAAAAAAATGCTATTCTTAAAAGAGTGCTAAATATAATCTATTCAAAAATTATAAAATAAACATGTTATAAAATCACTACAAAAATAGACATTTTGTTTCACCACTTCTAGTGTCTTATCAAGTGATGGTGATATTCCTCTCTCTATATATATATATGAGAGAGAGAGAGAGAAAGGGGGGGTGCACAATGATGGGGTGTAATGGTTAGCAAGATTATCTCGCTAGAACAGTTATGACTGAATAGCAAGTTCAATCCTCACTGGATGCCCCATACCTTCAGGCTTGTGCCTCATCTAAGCTACGCAATAAAAAATCACCATATATATATATATATATATATATATATATATATATATATATATATATATACAAGGGTCGGCTGAAAAGATCATAGGCTGACCAAGACACTCTTATGGAATATGAGCAAATGAGGTTTATTTTTCAACATAGACCCCTTTGCAATCCATACACTTCTCCCATTACACATGGAATAGTGACCTCATTGATTAATGCTGTAGTTCAATCCATGAGTCAAGCAGTGTTTACTGGAATTTAGTGGAAATAGGTGAGCAATAACTGAGCAGTACTAAAAATAAGAACTAGAAATGGGCAGTGGAACGAGAACAGTCTATCCCTGTTGATTAAATAAAGGTTTCAGTTGAGAATTTTCTGTAGCTTGATATACACCTGAGGAAGGCCAAAGGGTACAATGGCCAAAATGTGTGATAACAACTGTTATATAGCGTACCTATGAACATTAATGTGTATATCCCAATCCTCATAAATATGTTGGACACTATTGTAAGTGGGGGTAATATGCTAAGTAGTCCACCAATAGCAGTGATTTACCTACTTTAATCTGCTGGCGAGTATTGTATTTTGTTGATGTTATAAAGATTACCATTTCATTTCCAACCTCCATTTTGGCTATTCCTCATTCTCTAACCTTTTCTAGGTTACAACAAAAATGAGGACAATAGCCTCAATATAAATAATGACAACTCATTCTAAACATGGGCAGTGGACCAAGCACAGTCTATCCTTTATATAAAGGTTTTGGTTGAGAATTCCCTGTAGATCAATAGGTAACTGAGGAAGGCCAAAAAGCACAACAGTCGAAACATTGTGATAACAACAAAAATGAGGACAATAGTCCAAATATAAATAATATAACTAAGGATTTTATTAAATAGCAAATTACAAAAACTGGAAATAATAATAAATTTTTATTTCCAAGAAAGTGTTTAATAAGCCTGTTTTAACAACCAGTTCAGCTGTCAATTCATTAGGTAAATTTAATCCAATCAAATTTACTTCAAAATGACACTGATTTCTCCTTGTCCTTTAAGAAGCTAAGTTGGAAGAATATTGCCAATGTTATTTGAAAAATTATCACTAGCGCCAAAAATGTCAAACGAAGGACAAATATGAAGATTATTTTTTGAGGGAAAAGAGCAGTTTAAAAAGAAACAACTTTCAACCTGAAAAATCTTTCTTTTTTTTTTTTTCTTAAAATAAAAACCATTAAGAAAACTCACTTGTAATATTTCCATATCTTTCCAAAGAGCAAGGCCTTTAATCTCGTTATATCTGCATTCATTCATGATGTATTTTAACATTTCTTTGTCTTGAGAATGAGTAAACTTATTGCGTTTCCTACAAGAGTAAAGATACTGTTGTCATAGCTGCAGAATCAGGTCAATCTATAAATAAGAAGTTGGTGATTTTGATAAAAGCATGACAAATGTCTTTCTTAGCATCAAAGACAGTTACAAGAGCATGACAAACAGTTGAGCCAAAAAGTTCTGTGGAGTGAGTAGTCATGGTCAAATGCAAAATAATTAACAGAACTTTTCAACAAACAGAATTGACAAAACTTACAATAAGCAATAAAAAGAAAAAGAAAAGAACAGGGCAAAAATAGTATAAAGCAAGCAAACAATATATGAAAGGCAAATTAATAATAATAATAATAATAATAAGGCAAAGCAGCAGTAATATGGCAAAAAGTTCACAAACTAAGAATTGGCATTGACACACAGAAGCAAGTTCAGACAAGTGAGCGTGGTGTTCTAACTTCAAGGCAAGACAGACCAGGACTGGGTCAGATGAAACGAAGAACTGACTTATTTTATTGACTAAGAAAAAATCCCAGAATGCATTTGTGTGCTTCTGACCATAAAATAAGGAAGGGCTAGTGTTTTGCAATCATTCCTGTTGAGTGAAACCAAAAAATTCAGAGAATGGTATGCCTTTCAAAAGCAAGTTTATAAGTACTGAATGAAATTAAGAATTTATTTATATACAAGTTTACCTATGCCATAAAGAAAAAGGTTTTGTTAGTTACCATGTCCCTTCAGGATGTGGGCGATCATGGTCCTCCACAATTTCCTGTACATTGTAGCTTTTAGTAAAGTTTATGTTTTTGCTATCTCACCTAATCCCTGTTCTACTAACAAGCTTGTTAGGCTGGTTTGGTTCGTTTAGTGGCATATCAACCTCAATGGGTCATTTTAATGCTGACCAAATCTTTATTGCTGGTAATATTTTTTTTTTTTTAAAAATGTACTGTTGTTAATTTTTTTCCTTCAAAAATCTATTTCTGGTAATATTTTTTTTTTCCAAAAATGTATTGCTGGTAATATTTTTTTTTTTTCAAAAATGTATCGCTGTTAATAATTTTTTTTGCCATTAGTAATGCAGTTTTCATATCCTTTTCAACAGTTGGAAATTTACATGTTACCAGCAAAATCTCATATTCGTGAGAATGTAATGTTCTTAAATATTCACCTTATGTGTGGCCATCTCATTTTTTCTTTACAATCAAAGGACATGCAAAGTCTTTGTGCTGACAATGAATCATTTTTTTCTTTATATGCTTTCTCCTTCAGTTCTCCAATCACAAGTATCAAAAATATGAAAAAAAAAAAAAAAAAAAACCAAAAAAAAACACTTCTTCTAGTAGGTGCCATGTCCATTTAGGACGTTGATGAGCATGGCTCCCCACAATTTCCTGTCTTTTGTAGCTCTTAATAAATTTTGTCTTTTTGTTATTTTTTCTGAACCTTATTCCACCATTCAACCCCACTGGGAAGGCTATGAGTTGCTTTCCTCTGTCTCCCTTACCTTCAACCAGTCCTGTGAGTATCAAATTTTCCATCATTTCTTTCCTCATTATGTGAACCAGAAATTTTCTGGTGTTAAATATGTCTTTTTGTTGCCATCGTCTCTAGAACTTTGTCATTGCTCACATGTTTAGTCTATGGTATTCTCAGTATCATTCCATAGAACCACATTTCTGTTGCTTCAAGTCTTCTTTATTTGTGAGGAGATTGTCCAGCATTCACTGCTATATAGGAGAACTGATATTATGTAACAGTTCAGTACACTCTTCTAACAAAATTATTCTGTTTCTTAATACTTTGCTTAGCTTTTGGAAAGCTATTTCACTATCACAATGCACCTTTGGATTTCACTGTCACACATTCTGTTAAGTTAAAAAAACTCCCAGATAATTAAATTGTTGTACTTATTTGATTTTGGTATCTCCAAATTGTAAATAAAAAAAATCCATATTTGAAAAGCATTATCTGAGAGACCCCTTTCTACTGTTCATCAGCATGACTGATGCTAACATCCAGGAAAATGACTCATTGCGCATTCTCTCTCCAGAATCTATCTTACATATCTATAAATCAACCATTCGTCCATGTTTAGAATATTGCTGCCACATATGGTCCGGCACCCCTGCTATTTACCTTGAGCTCCTAAGTTTTAATTTCTCTTGAGATTGTTCATGTTCACTTAGCATTTAATATCCTTGGACACCTCTAGGAAAGTGACTCATTGGGCCTTCTCTGGCTAACATTCTCAGTTGACATGAAGTGGAAAGATTATATTGAATCCATAGCTAGGTCATCTGCTAAGAAAGTTGGTTCCATGTGTCTTTGGCAGACAATTTTACTCTCCAGAATTTATCTTACCTAGCTATAAGTCTACCATTCATCCATACTGCTGTCACATATAGTCCAGTACTCCTGCTATTTATTTAGAGATCCTTGATAAAATCCAAAGAAGAATCAGCAATATTATTGGTACTGTCCTGGCATCTCAGCTTCAGTCACATTCCCACCACTGTAAAGTTGCTTTCCTCTGCCTTTTCTATAAATGCTTTCATGGTTATTGTCAAATAAGCTCTTCACAATGGTACATAGACTTTATGAATTTAAGTGCAGTACTAGATTAGCAACAAGGTCTCATCAATTCACAATTGAATTGGCTAGATGTAACTGTAATTTCTATGCTAACAGTTTCTTTTCTCGCACTTCTCAATAGTGGAATACTCTTCTGGCTCTATGCTTTCCAATTAACTCTGATCTTCAAAAATTTAAATACAATGTCAATCATTATCTACTGTCTCCATGATTAATCTTCTATTGTTCTCACTCCTTAATAATGTTTCTGTTTTCTAATTCTTTCACACCCAGTAAATCCTTGTCTTAGTGTCTTTACTGCCTTTCTTGGGGTGAATTCAATTAAATAAAAAAAAAAAATTGTGGTACCCTAGTAACATTACCTGAATGCATAATAGCAAAATGAGATTAAAAATAACTTTGTGTGACAATCAAATATATATATATGTGCAACTAGCAGAAAAGCAAACTCAATGTTTGATTGATTTGTTTAATGGCATATCAACTCCTTATGGGTCATTTAATGCCAAAATTTAAATTTCTTGGGAGCTTAGAAGTAATAAAAATATATGTTATTCTGCTTTCACAACTGAATACATGGTAGATGATACTCAGCTTTTGTGCATATACATGTTTGCGTGGACAGAATTACTAGAGCCGTTGATATGTGTGTTTTATGTTGTAGTTTTGTTGAAGTTATATTTTGGAATACAGTCTGATTTCAAGAAATTGTGGATATTATATGGATTAATGTCATGAAAGTTCTTTTATGTTATTTGTTTGGTAGGATTTTAAACAGTTTTTGGCTGAAGTCGCTACAGTTTGTTAGTATGTGTGTATTATTGGTAATTTTTTATATAAAAATGTATTGCTGGTATTTTTACTATAAAAATATATTTTGATACTTTCATAGTGTTTTATTTTTGTTTGGGGGTGTTCACTAATTGCCCATAATTTGGACCCTAACAGGTTCTACCACCCCATGTTAGGGTGGACCTGGAAACAACATTAATTAAGAGGTGGTTCCACACTCCTGAAAACCTCTAATCTCCTGATCAGAGGCCTTGCTGCTGGATGTAATTTATCGTTATACCCAGGACGACACAACATTTGAACAACTGAACCTTTTCTTGGCTTACTTGTTGCTATTAATGCAATCTTTCAGTCAATCTTTTCTTCGGTTCTCATTAGATGCATTCTGTAAGGAAAAGGAACCACCTTCTGGAAAAAAGAAACAATTGAAAAGGTGTTTTCTTTTTTGTCAGAGACTACATCTGACGAAAGCTGAAAAAGGTACTGGTCGAAACATCATCATAATAAAAACAAGTATTTTTTTTTTAGACGTTCAATGTTATCTATGATTCATCGATTACTTCTGGTATTATATAAATTACTTTTTGCCCAATATTTTTTCATGTTAAAATTTAAGTGTTTAATGTAACAGTGAAATGGAAATATTTCTTGGAAGAAAAAGATTAACAACAGAATGACAAAGATGACAACAAAGCCTATTTCAAGGCCAAGTTGAAGACAATCCCTGAATAGACAAAAGTATCTGAGTGCCTCACATGAAAGGCTTGGACAAATAAGACTGCAATCTCAGAAGTAAAGGAACTGATTAATTAAATGGTTCATTTTAATCAGGAATTAATTTTGTCTAAATGCAGATATTTTATTTGTATAGATTATTAAAATGAGTAAGGGAAGTAATCACTCATAAATTTACTAACTGATTTACCCCCATCCCTACTACAAATGGGACAGGAAATGTATAAATAAATACACATTAATAATTATTATATGGTTTGATTACTAGAAAGGAAATTTTAGTGGGTACTGTAGAAAAAAGAAGAGATAAAAACAAAAAGTATCGAGAGGGTTCGGCGGCAAATCAGCTGTTATTCTTTGCCGCCAGTCGCCTCAAAGAAACGAACTGCGAAACACCTTTTCTTGGCCGTTACACTGGGCAGTCATGAAACGGACACCCAAATCAAATGCGCCTACTTCAACTGCCTCTTGGTCTGCCAGTCTATTTGCACGTCCGACTCTGTTACACGAAGTCCGCCGAATGACTCGCTGTCTGCCGTGCCGCTGGCGCCTCGCCTTTTTTATGCTAGTCCGACACTGCTGAAATTTGCATGTGTACTCGTACGATCTTGTTTTGGACGAGACCGGCGCATATAAATTGTGTCTTCGACAGTAGCCATATTTTCTTTGGGATTTATCATGCAAGCAAGACACGTTCGCACACGTTTCGAGCTCCGAGGTAAGTCATCACAGGTACGCATATTTGAGTATACATTCCTGCTTATTGATAACCAGAGAAATTAATGTCAACTAGCCTAAAAATCAAGAAATCCTTACAAAAGAAAAAGGCCAGCTGACATTAAGTTTATTGTTTAAAATAACTGGGATGTCAATGCAAACACATATAACCACTAAAAACTATGTTTACAGTAATAGAAATAACGTTGGATTAAAAAAAAAAAAATTTTTAAATTACTTTACATAACAGCCCTTTTCTGACCATATTTCTTGCATTAATTCTTGACAATTGACAATACCTTTCTTGCTGATTACACGAGTAAAATAATTAGTAATACATAATAAATTATAGATTTTTTATTACTATACAGGTTATTTTTAGTGGCTTCATGTGTTTGAGTTGACATCCTAGTTCTTTTAAACAATGACATTAAATTCAACCGACCAAGAAATCAAGAATCCTTACTAGCAAAACTATGCCTTCTGACAAGAATCAAACTTGTATTCCCTTTTTCCATCAGGGAAACCACTCCTTTACCTGAAGTCTGCTCTACCAATTAGGCTACAGGAAACAAATATCAATTAGGCTACAGGAAACAAATATCAATTACTGACTTATGGTCTCAATTTCTAGGCCAGTTGTTTGGTTTGGTTTGGTTTACGTCATATCAACCTCAATGGGTTACTGAATGCCGACAAAATTTTTATTGCTGGTAATATTTTGTTTTGTCAAAAATCTATTTCTGGTAATATTTTTCCTTATTACTGGTAATAATTTTTTTTCAAAAATGTATTGCTGGTAATATTTTTTTCCTCAAAAATGTATAGCTGGTAATAGTTTTTTTCTTCAAAAATTTATTGCTGGTAATAATTTTTTTACAAAGTATTTCTGGTATTAAAACCTATTTTTACACTTTCATGTTTTTACCCTAGTTTCAGAGTTAACTATTTGCCTATAGCTGGGACCCTAACAGGTGCTACCACCATGGGTCAGGGTGGACCTGGGAACACCAGAAAATTAAGAGGTGGTTCCATGCTCCTCAAAACCTCCTGATTAGAGGCCTTGCTGTTGGATGTAGTTTATCGTCTTACCCAGGACATAGATATAGTTTATCATGGAGGCCAGTTGACATTAATCTCACTGGTTATAAATAAACAGGGACATCAACACAAACATATATACCTATTAAAAATAACATTTAGAGTAATAAAAATATCTGGTTTGTTACTGATACTTTCCAAAATTACAGACAATAGAAAAAAAGATTTTCAGTGAGTTTGTTTTAAATAAAAGAAAATATTGAAACTCCAAATAATAGTTACTTTTTGGGTTTGTTTGATTTTGCTGGTTGTAGCTCTGGCAGCTCTGGGCTTGAAATGTCAGAAATATCGCTGACGTTATCATCATCATCATCCTTACTGGAAGAACGTAATTTAAACCGGCGCTTTGGCAACATTCTGATACAAATTCCAAGACATGAAACACAAAAGAAAAATAAACATTTTAATAAATTGTACAACTCAGATTATTGGACACATTATTTAACTTAAAAAAAATAACATTTTACTGAAATGTTTTCCAGTTAATAATTTTGAAAATAAAATCAACTTAAATCAAGTACTGTCAATTATTATTATTATTATTTTGTTAATCATTTCACCCCAAGCAAGGCAATAATGCTACTAGGATGCAAATGATTACATGAAGTGAAAAAGAACAAGAAAACTTTAGTGACAAGAAATGATAATAAAAGAACAGGATTCAGGAAGGCAGATGGCAATTGGCAGTGCATTTAAATTTTTGAAGATTTTAAGTGGCAAGGAAGCAAGAAATCAGAAGAGAGATCCACAATTGTGAGAAAAGAAAACTATTAGAATATTACTGATGGTTGCATCTAACTAGTTCAACAGCAAAACTGTGAGACCTAATTGCCAATCTAGAATCACAATTATATTCATGTAGTCAAGACACCAAGGAAGAAAGTTCATCAGAACAATTACCAAGAAAACATTTGTAGAAAAGACAGAGGGAAGCAATGTCATGTTGATGAGAAAATCACTGAAGTTGAAATTGCAAGTCAGGATCGATTAAATTTCAGACCCATCTTTGAATTTTATGAAGAATCTCAAGATATATAGTAACAGAATCAGCCCAGATATGGTAGCAATATTTAACACACAGAGGAATGGTAGATTTATAAATATACAAGATGGATTCTGATGATAAAAATTGTCTGACACTGCAAGGTGAACCAACTTTCCTAGCGGTAGTTGCAGCAATTGATTCAATATAATTGCTCCACTTTATACCAGTGGAAAACATGAGCACAAAGAGACACAAAGAGTTGCTCTCCTGGAGGTTAGCATCAGCCATGTTGATAGCAGGTAGAAAAGCTTCTCTGTGCTGATTAAATGAAAGCAGTTATATTTTGAAGGCGTTAAAATTTAAAAGCCAATCCTTAGCGCAGGTAACCACTTATTGGAGGGTCCTTTTCAAGAGCAGTTGCCAGTTTTACTTTCTTAATTTCAATTGCTTTGTACTATATGTCTAATCAAATCATTCTTTAACCATGTGTAAATAAATTTTTCTTCTTCTATGTGCTGTTTCCCATCTCTCCACAACTTCCTTTCTTTTGAGGCGCTTACTAAGGTATGACATTTTGCTATATCTCCTAAACAATGCAGGCCAACCATTTACTCAAGCTCACTAAGTAGGAGACGTGTGCTTTTCCTTTATCCCCCTTGCCTTCAATCTGTCTTGTGAGTATCATATTTTCTAAACCCTCTTTTCATATTATGTGCCCTAGAAATTTCTTTTTCTTTTTGATGTTAAGTATAAGTGTCCTTTTTTCATTTTCTCTAAAACTTTGTTGTTGATCGCATGTTCAGTCCATGGTATTCCCAGCATCCTTCTGTAGAACCACATTTCTGTTGAATTCACAGCGATATAGGTGGACCAACATTTCAGTACCTTTTGTATATATCCATTTATTATTAATTTAAAATGAATGACATACAAAGGAGAGTTCACAATATGAGCCTAATTAAAGAAATTCAAATGTTAAAAACAAATTATATGCAACTTTGAAATATGATAGAAAATTTAGCAAAATTGGACTTCGTGCCTACAAAAAAAAAAAAACAGAGTCAAAAGGATGTTCCCCCACCTTGACATTGCTATTATTTTA